GTAATGGGTAGCCGTTAGCTTTTCCGATAGGTATATATATTCGTGGTAAGCATAAATGGCTTACCCATATCCGTTTAGTATATCTGTCCGTATCTATGTACGCCATATCCGTATCTATGTATGCCGATCCGTTCTTCAATGGCACTCAGAATCAAGTTAACATTTAAATCATCGACAACTCGCCTTGATTTTTCATATAAACTAGCATGTCTTGTTTAAGGGATCTAATTTTAATAGTTAAATATGTATATTAGGAATATGTTTTTGCTATTATTCGCTCTCTTCAATATTTAAAAATCTTACTCTTCGGCATATATACACATGTAAGGGTTTTATTAAAGCAGGCTCCATTCTTTAAAATAATTAACCCCGAGGTAGCCATGAGTTTTATCTTAAATTCCGCCGAAAAAACTCACTCCGGCGAGTGAAGTGGATCTTTAACAAAACTAATATATATTATTTTAATTGTGTACATAGTTTAGAAAATGTTATTTGGATCAACAGTTGTTGCGAACTTTTGCCAACCTATTGTGTGTCAATCGTCAAAAAATAGTTCTTCGAATATCTGCTTCCCGTAGTTACTACCTGGCAGCCGCCGGTTAAACCACTGGTTGAAAAAGCAAAGAACAACTTCTGTTGTAGCAGAAGAAATCTGGTCCAAACAAGAAATATAACGAATACAACCAAAAATACGAAATGTGTCTACAATGTACTAGGCAGATTATTTAACGGATACCCTGTACCCTCTTCTACAAGCACCAAATGCTGCTCGCACTTGGCTATAGCTGTAAAACGAAACGCCTGGAATAAGCCGGCACCGAAGTTAATTATCTGACGATAGCTCAGCCGTTGTATGAACAACGTTGACGGAGTCGCCCCATCTCAGAACCAGGAAGGGGCAGAGCGCGTATTGAAATATTTCTCGAAGACGTTCAGATCCGCGGAACGAAACAGGAGAGTACTACATAGTACTAGTAACTAAGAACTTCCATCACTACCTATTTGGACGAAGATTTTTCACAACTATGCCAAGTGGCAAAACAAAGGTCAGACTCTGAAGATGGTTTTGTCTTGGGCTGAGCAAGGAAAAACGCCTTTCCAAAAGTGAAAAAAGCTTAGTACTCTGTCCTTACACCAAGGCGTGCTGATGACCATGAATACGGAAGGCGACGCAGTGGCCATAGTGCCTCGCTGCTTTCAGCTAATGATTCTACTGGAGGACACTGGTGACAGTAAAATGTAGGCCAAACTGAAAAAGCGCTACTTTTGGATTTGTCAGAGTGCGGACGTAGCAATCGGTGCGCTCGCTGCCCGAAGTGTAACGCCAGGAAAGGACATTCTCGGTGCACTGTCGGTTGGCTGTAGCCCAGTTCCATAGGCGCTCCGCTCGAGCGGATTGCGATTGACTTTCTGGGCCCACTATCACCCTTGGCAATTCGTATATCCCAGTCATCTTCCACTATCCCAAATGGGCGGAGTACGTCGCTTCCCGAAAAGAACAATTATTCCGATATGGCTCACCATTTATACACCACTCGGATCAAGGCTGCAACATCGAGTCGAAAATATTCCAGTGTTGCCTTCGAATCCTCAGCTTAAAGCAAACGTGCACAACGCCTTGGTCGGGATGGTTGGAAGTTTTAATCGGATACTTCTGGACTTCTTAGCAAAATTTGTCACCGATCACCGCCACTCTGACTTCGTTTATGAGGTACGCATGCCTGGAAAGCACACGATGATAACGGTTTACGTCAACCGCTTTGCCCCCTACCAAGGACTAACCACGAATATACTCGCCGAGGAGGCTCAAATCACAGAGGCAGTGTTATGAAAGAGCGCAACCAGCATCATGCCTTTCTACTGTTCCTGCTATGTCTTTAACTCAATAGTTCAACAAATATCTCGATCACTCTATCGAAATATCAGCTAACACTCTCACCCCTAAGATGTTAACTGAACCATCTTTTATTCCTTCTCGTTTTGGCTACGACCCGGCTTCCATGAGCCTCGTAAAAAGTTATATTGCAAAAGATTTAATTAAGCTTAGCTCAAAACCTTTAAAACCTATCGTACTTATGTGCTGGTTGCCGTTGTGCTCTCCCGCTTATTAGTTCCGCTTGGATATCCGTGGCGACGTTAATTAATTTTGGCAAAATTTCGCTACAGTATATACAATTCATAAAGCTACATGTTCAAAGTTGGTTTCTCTAGCCTATAAAACCTTAGAGATTTGCTCAAAAACAGAATTTCGCTATCGATTTCTATCAATTACTTGATGGATTGGTCATATACCCCATATATGTTATAATTATTGTATCAATACATACATAAACTTAATAAATTGTTTCACAGCACTGTCATAAGCAGATTATGTTAAGATTCCGCTATGATTTCTTAATGTAAGGAGTAACTCTTCGTTCTGTTCCTCAAACGACGACATAAGCAATTAATAATAGATCAAACCGCCAGGCAGTAAACAAGACAAAACGCATCACTAACAAACCGATAATTTATACGCCCATTCTGCGCTGTGTCCCACCTGACTATCCGGCTATCATTCAACAATCTCTCAATCTCACTTAATCCTAAACTCTACACGTCCCCATCAGCTAACCATTAACTCTGCAACAGGCAACGGTCTGCCAAGCCAGCACTTTCTATTTACCCACCACCTGATCATTCTCCCACACTCCCCATTACTCATTCAAAGCGCAATCGCGTCGAAGACCAAGGATAACTGTAGTAGCCCCTCATCCAAATACGCAATGTACGGGTCATCGGGATCCCCGAACTTGCATTACATGCTCACTTCAAACCTGGACCTGATTTCAGAAAATACTCGCATACAAGCGGGTTTCCTGCAATAGGGCAAAGACGGTGCTCTTTGCACACATCATTGCATAGGACTTTTGACAATTCTTCTGATATACCTGGTCAAAACTCTAAGCAAAAATCACATTACATAGGACCACCCGACTTCACAGAGGACTTGCACGGCTAGGCCAACACCATGAACAATTATATTAACTACACGGCCACATCCCATGGCCATCCGCACACCTCTCTTAGAGGTAGAGGTTTTTACCAGCAGAATCCCGTAAAAATGTAAAATAATAGTACGTTTTCTATCGTGAATCAAGATTTGAAAACCATTCTAGCTTTAAAATACTAACAAAAAAAGGTGGTTAGAACTGGATGCAAAACTTTAAGTTAACTACTATTTTTATTTAAAATCAACTATTTTTATATTTCGTTGAAATTTTATAAATGTTTTATGTTTTGTTAACATAACTAAATAAAATAAATAAATAAAATATGTTTTACTTATAGATTGGTCAAAGGCATGGTGGCTTTCTTGGCGTACTACAAAGAGCACTGGCAAGGGCATCTCCTCATATTTGGTTTGAAAGAGGAGAAGCCAAAGATCGACATACTGTTGCAGAAAGATTAAGACAACATGTATCAGATCCGAATAATCCACCTATTCTTATATTTCCGGAAGGCACTTGCATAAACAATACTTCTGTTATGCAATTTAAAAAGGGAAGTTTTGAAGTTGGCGGAGTTATATATCCCGTTGCCATAAAGTAAGTGATTGCATATTTGAAAGAAAAAATAAGATCCATTATATTTAAAACTTAAATTTCGATTTTAAATTGAGAAAAAGTCAGATATGTCAAGTGACTTCTATAGGAAGTCACTCCATCCATAATCTCATAACTTTTACTGTTAAAATATATATTAGAATATCAATAATCACAAAAGTGCATGTGTTCGTTTATTTTAGATATGATCCTAGATTTGGTGATGCATTTTGGAACAGCTCTAAATACTCAATGATGCAATATCTTTATATGATGATGACTTCATGGGCTATTGTTTGCGATGTCTGGTATCTTCCGCCTATGTATCGGCAGGATGGAGAATCGGCGATAGATTTTGCTAATCGTGTTAAAGGTGTTATAGCAAAACAAGGAGGATTGGTGGATTTGGTATGGGACGGACAGCTCAAACGAATGAAGCCGAAAAAAGAATGGAAGGAAATTCAACAAGTTGAATTTGCAAATCGTTTAAAATCGGATTGACTTTAAGTTAATACTTAATAATTTGTAATTTTCAACATGATTTACAAAATGTATAAATATATGACAAAAAAAAAAAAAAAAAAAAAAACATGCCAACTGCGATATACTGATTTACAAGGGTGGTAGTGGGCTCAGAATGTCGATCGTAATATGCTCAAAGGGATCGGCAACGGCTGGCACTAAATTGCTACGTCCGCACTCTGCCTAATCCAATAGTAGCGCTCCTTTAGGTTGGCTAACGTTTTACTGACACCAAAGTGACCTCCAGCACTATGCGAGGCACTTTTGGAAGGTCGCTCTCCTTTGCCACTTGACATAGTCTATTGACTGAATTTGCAGGAGCAGGATACCTTGCTCAGCTCGGCTTTTTCGCATATGCGTAACTCGCCACAGAGCCTTCGAGAAAGGCTGTTTGCGCAGTTGAAATCGACTTCCATGCGATACCGGCGAAGAAGCTCTCCCTCAGCTGCTCAAAGCCGCAGCATTTGTCGGAAGCGGATAGGAATCTTTAGCGGCAAACCAAATATTGGAATATATCGGAATTCTTGGCGATATCAGCAATATAAATGAAACTATAAGGACATTCAAGATGCTTGATAAGAGGAAACTACCTTACAGCAAAATTGCTAATTGTAAATTTGATTCAATTGATAAAGCATTTTCCAAAATTTCAGAGACTTTTAATGATAGGTGAATTTAACTGGCCAAGCCCGTAGAAAATTTTTAACTTTGCGCTTCTTACACCTTAATTTATTCCATGAATTCCATTTTATTAACTTCTACTGATGTTGATTGTAGACGTGGAAAAAATTATTGTATTAATGAACAATAACTGTGGTACATTTCATTCATGGATTGCTCCTTTACGATATATTCTTTGACATTTATCGACGCTATCTTACCTGCTGTGTCACCCTGTGCTAACAGTTGATAAGTCGGTCTTGTTTACACCGGTAAAGCCAAATTTCGTGCGTAAGAAATTAATTTTAATGGTAACTTAAAATGGCACACGTTGAAACTATTCCGGTAACTACATTCCGGAGCCACCTCAATATACTAAACGATCCGGCGGCAAATGAAGAAATCAAGTTGAAAGCCACCCAGGAGTTGAGTGAACATTTTGATATGATCATGCAATCTCCGTCTTATCCCTCGTTTTTGGAAAATGCACTAAAGATATTTATGCGTATATTACAAGAGGGGGAGCCTCAATTTATACAAGAGAACACGATTCAGCATGTAAGTACTTATTTGTTTTACAAACTGCCTACTGAAAAGTTTTCAATATTATATGTAAATATATACATACATATGTGTACATACATACATATGTACATCCATTCTATGCACATTGCCTTATGCATTTAAAGCCTTAAATGAAAAGCCAAGTACACAAGCACGCTTGTCTTAATACATAAGTGATAACCCCTATAAGTTTATTTATGTTCCAAATCGGAGCTATTCCAATCCGAGTTATAAATTGATAAGCAAACAAGTTTTTCATACAAGAACCTTCCTTTAGACCGATCGCTCCTTTGGCAGCTATATGATATAGTGGCCCGATCCGTGCCAGTCATTTCGAAATTCAGCCCAGCAGCAATCAAAAACACACGCCACGGCAGACAAAAACAAACTCAGTCTTTGCTATCTAACTTTGTTTTTTTCGAAAGCTTCGAGTGCCGTAAAGATACTTTGAAATTATACTGTTTGACTTTTACCTCGCATTTGACAAAACGTTCTTATTAAAGCGTCGGTGAAACCAGGTATCACGAGGAATATGTTTCGTATTGTCGCTCTGAGCTTTCCAAGCTTAAATTGAATAGCATCTTCATTTGGCAGCAACATCACGTTAAGTGTTTTGGTTGTGTCAGACGCTTAGGTCGTCTGCGTATCGGCTTAGCTGCGTTTATTGCGGATAACTCAGGAGAATTGCAAAGCCACGATTCCCACGTATTTGTCCGGCTAGCTCACGTTTCTTCTGGAATTGGTCAATCCTTTTTTGAAAATATTATCATTAATGCGGCTGTTAACATCCAATATTTTAAGATGTTTCTAAGGCCTGTTGCGCTATCACAAATCATGGATTCATTTTTTCTAACACACTTATATTAATACTGATCGACCGTCTATGCCCTGACCGTTAAGTTAGTTTTTAAAAGCGAAATCTTCGCCGCCTTAACGTCATTAACTTGATAAGCACATAACACCATAAGATAAACTTTGAACATAAATTTTCATTAACGCAAATTATTATTAAATTTGTAGGTTCGCAAGCTTATTTTGGAGATGATACACCGATTGCCCATTACAGAAAATCTAAGACAGCATGTTAAATCGATAATAACTATGACGCTCAAATTATTAAAAACTGATAACGAAGAAAATGTGCTGATAAGTCTGCGTATAATAATCGAGCTGCATAAACATTTTCGTCCATCTTTCAATCCAGAGGTAAGTATTTATTAGAGAAAGAGGAAGTATCCGTTGAAGTTGAAGCGATTATTAATAAATTACTCTTCTATTTTTAGATTCAGCTATTTTTAGGATTTGTTAAAGAAATTTATACAAATCTGCCAAATAATTTAACATCAATCTTCGAAACTACAAATGATATTTGGATAACTGACCTAAAAGATTTGGATTTAGAAATGCTTTTGCCTACCACATATTCAGTAAAAACTATACATGTGGAGAAATCCCAAGAACACAATTCACAGCAAATGATTGTAAGTATACTTTAAATTTTAAACGTTTTCAACACAATTTCTATATACAGCATCTACCTCCATTTGATTTTAAGCAAATAAGTTACTCAATTCATCGTCAATATCATATCATAAGTGTTGTTTTTTTTTCTACCTTTAGAAACCGAGCAAAGTCCCAAAATATTTTTTTCAGCATCGAAATAAGTTAAATGTATATATTGCTAAATTATATAAAAATGCACTTCCTATTCCAGTATAATCTCCTTCCTCGTGGTATATTGTCCTTGAAAGTTCTTCAAGAGTTGCCAATTATCGTTGTGCTGATGTACCAAATTTACAAGAATGCTGTCCACCAAGAGGTCGCCGAATTTATTCCTTTAATACTTACAACTATTAATTTACAACCAACTGTAATTCAAAGGTAAGTTATAACAAATATTTGTGCTCTAGTCAAGCCGTTACGGATTGCCTGACAAAATTGTAATTGAAAATTCGTGAAATATAATAATTAATAGTCAATTAATATATATGAGCGCTTGTTGCTGTTTGTTATCTTCAAGATTTATTATGAAGTATATTTTAAATATTATTTTGCTAGGAATACATCACAAAAGGAAGTTTTTGTGGACTTTGTGGGCGCTCAAGTAAAAACGCTTTCATTTTTGGCATACATTGTGCGAATTTATCAGGTAATTTTTCTCCATTTATGTTCACCAAATATATAAACTAAATATATTATATTTTTCAGGATGTAGTCATAGCTAACTCATTATCTGTATCAAATGGTATGCTGAATTTGATGGAACATTGTCCGAAAGAAGCTGCCCACCTACGGAAAGACCTTTTAATTGCTGCGCGTCACATATTTGCTACAGACTTACGTCAAAGTTAGTTTCTTTTTTTTTAATAACAACAATAAGTTTTTAACTTTTAATTTATTTTTAGAATTCATTCCATCAATAGAAAAATTATTTGATGAGGATTTGCTTATTGGTAAAGGGGTGACTTTAGACTCCATTCGCCCATTAGCATATTCAACATTAGCTGATCTTGCACACCATGTCCGCCAGAGCTTAAGTTTGGATGTCTTGATAAAAGCAGTACACTTGTTTGCAAAAAATGTGCATGACGAGACACTGGCTGTTGGCATACAAACTATGTCGTGTAAGCTTTTACTGAATCTAGTAGATTGCCTTCGACATCACAGTGAGGTTGAACCACAGCGTTCTAGAAATATTCTGAGAACACTATTAAAAGTGTTTGTAAAGAAGTTCGAAACTATCGCGCAAATTCAGCTTCCTCTGATTATTCAAAAATGGTATGTTTACATGTCAAATATAAGAATGACCTTATTATAATTTGACTATATTAACGACTTACTAAATATACATATTTCCCTGAGGTATCAACAGTCGAATCGATAGGCATAGTGAAAATTACTAATTCGAATTATAAATTCTTCTATTTAATTAGCAAGGGGCAACCTCAAACCGGTGCAACATCACATCTTATTGGTTCGCTTACCTTGCCTGCTCTTCATTTAAACGATATAAAAGAAGTATGTATTATAAATCACACTGTAAAAATATAATATAAAGGTTTCATCATACATATCCCTAAATATAAGAAGTATTTTTATTTTTTGAAAAGTTGTAGGGTTTAAGCTTTCGCTTTAATTGGATAGCATTCATGTTATCAAAAATCCCAAAGTGCTTGCATATACAAAGTGCAAAGAATAATTTCACAAGACAACAAAATAAATTATTTTTATGGATCTCATACGAAGCCTACTTTTTTAGATCACATGATAAGTTAAAGTTATTAATCAATAAAATCTCATCAACATCGGAGCACTATATCATATTGCTGCCGCAGCTTGGACCTTGGTTCAGGGTATATCCCAGTCGGACACTTCCGACTGGACCACTCTTATTAAATTCCATATAATTGCTCTATTTATTTGTATATTCCATGTCATCTTTTACTACAACTAAGGAACAACTGGGGAGCGAGCAAAATAAAACCACGACGGGTTCACAATTAATTTGTTCAGTAAATGTAGCTGAATTTCGAAGTTTAGTCAAGACACTTGTTGGAGGCGTAAAAACTATTACTTGGGGATTTTTCAACTCAAAGGTATGGTTTTTCAAATTGTTGTACAATTCATATGTTATTCTTATTTTTTTTTATTATTAAAGAGTCATGTTTCGGATCCAAGTTTACAAATGCAGGAAAAACTTTTTAATCCAGAGATCTTATGCATATATATTGACTTGGTGCATTTTGCAATGGAAGCGTTAGATATATATACAATAAACGTTAACCCAAATCAACAACGAGCATCTGGGCTGATTTCACGCAGCAAAGAAGAAAAGGAGGTTTTAGAACACTTTAGCGGCATCGTAAGTATATAAACAATTTGGCAAGTCTACAAACAAAAAAGTTGTTCACCAAAATACGATTTACTTGTGAATAAAACATTGATTTTCAATAAGATTACTGCCTAACCAAGGTAATTCGGCCAATCAGCGTGTTAACTAGGACAAATATATATATATTCAAATAAATATATTGACTTTTAATATCTATGCATTATTTTATTTTTATTATTTTTCAGTTCCTCATGATGCATTCACAGAATTTCCAGGAAATATTTGCTACCACAATTGACTTTTTGGTGGAGCGTATCTACAAAAATCAGGCACTTCAGGTTATAGCTAACTCGTTTTTAGCTAATCCGACTACTTCGCCACTATTTGCGACTGTGTTGGTTGAGTATCTTTTGGAGAAAATGGAAGAAATGGGCTCAAATGTTGAGCGATCAAACTTATATCTTCGCCTGTTTAAACTCGTTTTTGGGAGCGTAAGCTTATTTCCTGTGGAAAATGAACAAATGTTGCGGCCGCATCTTCACAAAATAGTTATTCGTTCAATGGAATTGGCGTTAATTTCAGACGAGCCCTACAACTATTTTTTGCTTCTCAGGGCTCTATTTAGATCAATTGGAGGTGGAAGCCATGATCTTCTATATCAAGAGTTTCTTCCTCTGTTACCTAATTTGTTGGAAGGATTAAATCGCCTACAAAGTGGATTTCATAAACAACATATGCGGGATCTGTTTGTTGAACTTTGTTTGACAGTTCCAGTTCGTCTCTCATCTTTATTACCTTATCTTCCGATGCTCATGGATCCGTTAGTTTCTGCCTTGAATGGTTCCCCAACTCTTATAAGTCAGGTAAAGTATACTAATTTACTGATTTTTAGGCTATTTAAGAATCTAATATATACTTTCAGGGCTTAAGAACTTTGGAACTTTGTGTCGACAATTTGCAACCTGACTTTTTGTACGACCATATACAACCAGTAAGGGCAGCTTTAATGCAAGCCTTATGGAAAACACTAAGAAATCCGGACAATGCAGCGCTTGTTGCTTTTCGTGTTCTTGGAAAATTTGGTGGCGGCAATCGAAAAATGATGGTGGAGCCGCAAACGTTACATTATGATCATAACGAAAAACCGAAAATCGCAATAATTACTTACTTCCAAGAATATGATAAACCCATAGAATTTCCAGTCGAGTATGCGATTACGTCAGCTTTTAATGCATTAAGCTCAAACACTACAGATCAGTTTTATAGACGACAAAGCTGGGAAGTAATCCGTTGTTTTTTGGCTGCATTTATTAGTTTGGATGATGAAAAACACACCTTGTTGAAATTGTTTACTCACAGTGACTTTGTCGAAAGTAACATTATGAGTTGGCCAATATTTCATAACAAAATTGACGACTCGACAGTTCGTGGAACTCACCTGAAAGCTCTCATTGGTATGTTGGTAGCATCAGCCACAAAAGACCTACGGGATTCAGTGTGTCCTGTCATGGCAGCTGTTGTAAGACATTATACTATGGTGGCGATTGCCCAACAGGCTGGACCTTTCCCACAAAAGAATAGTGCATCAAATGGAATAGATCCGATGGTTTTAATTGATGCTTTAGCTGCTTGTATGGGGCATGAAGAAAAAGAATTGTGCAAGCCCGGCATAGCTTGCATGGGAATAATATTGGATACTGCTGCAAACATAATGGGAAATAAAGACAGGGCTTGCAAGTTACCTTTAATGCAATATTTGGCAGAGAGAATGACAGCATTGTGCTACGATCGGCCATGGTATGCCAAAGTGGGCGGTTGTCAAGCCATTCAGTTTTTATGCAAACACATGTCTTTGCGTGCCCTATTCCAGCACCTGTTCAATTTTTTAAAAGCCTTCATGTTTGTGCTAATGGATTTGGAAGGAGATGTTTCTAATGGCGCACTAGATATAACTAAAAGCTATATGAAAACAATGTTGGAGATATGCTTGTCCCCCATAAGTATTAATTCTCGGAATGATGAAATAGAAGACTTACAAGTGAAAGCCACGTATGAAGTAATTCATGAGCTCGTACGGCATATAACAAGTCCGAATTCCATTGTACGAGAAGAGTCAATGTTGTTGCTTAAACACATTGGATTAATCCAAAAAAAGACTGTCTCCGAGGTTATGGACCCACATAAAGACGTCCTAGCAGATATTATACCTCCTAAAAAACATTTATTAAGGCACCAACCTGCCAATGCACAAATCGGCCTAATGGATGGTAACACATTTTGCACTACCTTGGAACCCCGTCTCTTTACAATTGGTAAGCATAGCTTTGAAAATAATTGAATAATATTGAAAATCCCAAATTCTAATGATTCCATTCTTATGATGTATCTTTCTTTCTAGACTTAACAAATACGTACCATAAATTATTTTTCCACGAATTATTAACCTTAAGCGAAGCCGAAGATGCCACATTAGCTAAATTGGATTGCTATAAAAATGTAACAAACCTCATACCATTGCGAATAAGTGCGCTTCGAGCTTTAGCAGCCTGCCATTATATTAATGATATTGGATATAAAGAAAAAATAATCAACATTATTTTTAAAGTTATGGAGAATGATAAACCGGAACTGCAAGAAACATCTTATGTTTGCATGAAAACATTTATTTCTGGTATTACGCTTGATAAAGAAAAGGTAAGTGAAACTTGAGAATTATTATATTTTTAAAATTGATTGATTTTAAATTGATTAACACAATTTAAAGCTGCTGGTGGCTTTTGAAGTGAAAGATTTTATATGCTTGTTTGTAAGCCCAAACTCAGATAATGACTGTACAAAATTACTGACAAATAATACTCTCGCGCATTGCTTTCTTAGTTTTTTGATGCATTAAGTTTTGTTTATAATAATAATTACAGGTTCAAGCTGCAATGCGACCTCTACTGCTAAAACTGGGCGATCATAGGAACTTGTCTATTCCTGCAATAAAACGATTATCATATTTTACTCAACTTTTTCCACAAATGTTCAATGAAAAACTTAGTGAACAAATATTGCAGCATTGTGCAAAGATTATTGAAATATTCGTTGGCCAATATAAGTGCACTAACGAGAACGTTAATTTCTTTGCTACATCGAAAGGAGGAGAGTATGAACAAAAAATTGTGACACTCATTGAAATGTTTTATCACATAACGGCTTCGTCAAAATATATTGAGAAGTTATGCCAATTGGTTTTACAAACGGAAAAAAATCTTATGATAGAGGCATCTAGTCCATATCGCGAAGCGTTAATTATGTTTTTACAACGATTTCCATTAGAAACGGTAGATCTTTTTATGACGAATTCCATTATGAAGGACCCTCAATGGAATCGTTTTTTTATATTTCTATTAAAGCATAAAAATGGGCAACCATTTCGATCCATTATAAAGAACTCCAAATACACAATCTTAATGGAGTATTTAAATTGGACGGCAGCTTTTAGTAATACGCTTAAATATAATGTGCAACACCAAGCTGTTCTTATCATTTTTACCCTCATGGAATTAGATGATCAATGGATTCCAACTAGACCGGATATCGTAGATGCGTTAAGAAATACTTGGCGGACTAGTTTATACTCAACATGTTTGGAAAATGTTGCTTGTGATATATGGCACTTGATCGGAAAAATACTTCTCTTATATTTTTCGAATAACACAAATGATATTGACCTACTTTTCCAACTCTTAAGAGCCCTGTGCTTACACTTTATCCCGGATGTTTATTTTTTGCGCGATTTTCTACAAAATACAGTAGCTCAAAGTTTTACTGTTAGTTGGAAACGAAATGCATTCTTTTACTTCGTTGAAAATTTCAATAATAATACATTTTCAGAAGATTTAAAAGCAAAAATAATAACATCAGTTTTAATACCTTGTTTCACCGTAAGCTTTGACAAAGGTGAAGGTAATAAACTAATTGGAGCTCCTCCAACACCTTATCAAGAAGATGAGAAAAACATTGTTTCGGTGTTCATCAATAAAGTTTTTGATCCCGATAAACAGTATGATGATGCAGTGAGAATTGCTTTATTACAACTCGCTTGCTTACTCGTAGAACGAGCATCACAGCATATTCACGATGGCGATGCTAATAATAAAAGGCAAGGTAACAAACTTAGACGCTTGATGACATTTGCGTGGCCCTGCCTACTTAGCAAAAACTGTGTAGATCCTACTGCACGATACCATGGTCATTTACTACTTGCTCACATCATTGCAAGACTAGCAATTCATAAAAAAATCGTGCTTCAAGTTTTCCATTCGCTGCTAAAAGGACACGCCCTTGAGGCAAGACCCATTGTAAAGCAGGCTCTAGACGTGCTTACACCAGCTATGCCCCTTCGCATGGAAGACGGCAACACAATGTTAACTCACTGGACAAAAAAAATTATTGTTGAAGAAGGTCACGCAATACAACAGCTGTTTCATATCCTTCAACTGATTATACGTCATTATAAGGTAAGCCATTACAGAATTTAACTGTGGCGTAAATAAATTTAACCTTATTTAATCTATAGGTTTATTTCCCCGTCAGACATCAGTTGGTGCAGCATCTTATACACAATATGCAACGATTGGGATTTCCTCCAAGTGCGTCTATTGAACATAAAAAGTTGGCTGTCGACTTGGCAGAAGTTATAATTAAATGGGAACTGCATCGAATAAAACAAGATGAAAAAGATGTAAAAACTGCTGAATCCGAAGAGGATTTAAGGGACATTCAACTGTCTAAGCGGCTGGGAAACGAAACATCTGAAAGTAGAAAGAAATTGGCTGAGTCAAATCCATCTTTGGTCCAAGGAAAGTACCAAATGAAAATACAAATTTAAATTAAACAAAATAATATATATATATATATAATATATAGGTGCGGGAACTCACATTAAATCTGAAGACGTTCTTCGATCAATAGATAAGTCATTTTGCGATACTGTTCTCAACTTTCTCATACGATTAGCATGTCAAGTTAATGATGTACAACCAGGCATTATTTCCCCAGGAGAAAATCTATCAAGGAGGTAAGAAACAACTTATCTTGAAAAATCTTTAATAGCTCGCAAAATGAGCATTGATTTAATTTGGTATTATTAATTATTGCCGTGCCAAAAGAAAGCAATTTTTTCATGTTTGAAATATTTTGTGCTTATCTATACTTAACCTGATTTACTTGTAGGTGTATCATGCTATTAAAATTGGCTATGCGTCCTGAAATTTGGCCGCAGCCATTTGATATAAAAATCAGCTGGCTGGACAAGGTTCTGGCTACAATAGAGACACCGCATCATAACTTAAATAACATATGCACTGCGATAGATTTTCTGACGTTTCTAACCACAATATTAAGTTCGGATCAATTGGTGACAATAGTCCGACCAGTTCAACGTGGTCTTTCTTTATGTATTATTCACCAGAATACAAGGATTGTTCGTTTAATGCATATATTTTTAACACGACTTATGGCTACTTTTCCACCAGATGCACAGCATAAACACAACGATTTTGATATTTTGTACAGTGCCATTAGCAAAATGATAACAGACAACCTTACGTTCTATGAAAAGAGTCCACAACCGATTGCCTCTTCGTTATTTGGAACTTTAATGATTTTAAAAGCTTGCACCACTAATAATCCAAGTTATATAGACCGCATATTAGTTCAGTTCATAAGAGTTCTAAATCGTCTTACAAAGGATCACATTAATATAAGTACAAATAATACGATCAACACTCAACCGTCTGATTCAAACTCTCTGGCTCTGGAGCTGTTAGTCCTATCATTGGAACTAATTAAAAACAGAGTTGTTATAATGAGTGTTGAAATTCGTAAACTTTTTATAGGGACTATCTTAGTGAGCCTTATAGAAAAAAGCTCTGAAGTTAAAATTGTAAAATGTATTATTAAAATGCTTGATGATTGGGTAAAGAGTAAAGAATCTAATATTGCAACTCATGTTCCATCGATAAGAGAAAAGTCCGCACTGCTAGTAAAATTAATGCAGTATGTTGAAAAACGATTTACCGAAGAGGTTGAACTGAATGTTCAATTTTTAGAAATAATCAATTATATATATCGAGACGAAGTTTTAAAGCAAACGGAACTAACAAGTAAATTGGAAGGTGCTTTTTTGAATGGTCTTCGATTTCAAAATCCCCATATTCGCGCAAAGTTCTTTGAAATTTTAGATGCATCAATGCGCCGTAGACTTCATGATAGACTTTTATACATAATATGCTCACAAGCATGGGATACTATTGGATCACATTATTGGATAAAGCAATGCATCGAACTGCTTATTTTAACAACTAATACTATGACACAGATTCAATGCTCAAATGAAAGCTTTAAAATTCCCTGTATAACTTCTGTGATACCCTCGAACCCTACTGATTCCCAAGAAAATACATTTGTTTCATTTTTATCCGCACAATCTGAATCATTCGAAAATGTACAGAGTGTTAATGATAAGGACGACGTATTTGATATTGATTTAAAACTTGAATTTACATCCGTTCGTAAAGAAGATTGCCACCAAATACTATCTACAAGACGTGATACGTTGGTTGAGCTCATTTACAAGCAAGCGGAATTCCTAGAAGCAAATCGAAACATACGCACAGAACAAATGCTTGTTGCTACATCACAGCTATGCCACATGGATACACAGCTTGCTGAAAGCGTTTGGCTATCAATTTTTCCAAGCATTTGGAATATATTTACTGAAGATCAACGAACAAATATATCAAAGGAATTAATACCATTTCTTTCATCTGGAACAAATGTCAATCAGAAAGATTGTAGTCCAAGTACCCTAAATACGTTTGTAGAAAGCTTAACTAAGTGTGTTCCTTCGATTTATATCCCACCAAATCTCTTAACATATTTGGGTAAATCTCATAATCTTTGGCACAGAGCCATATTAGTATTAGAAGATTTGGCTTCGGAGCACTCCCTACGGAGTGATATAAATATTGCTGCGGACATAAGTCAGCCAGAGTCCGACCTGCAAAATTTGAACAACATTTATGACTCTCTGTCTAAAATGTACTCCGCTATGCATGAGGAAGATCTATGGGCAGGTCTTTGGCTAAAATTTGCACACTACCCAGAAACAAATATTGCCATTTCATACGAACAAATGGGATTTTTTGAAGAAGCACAAGGTGCCTATGACCTGGCTATGACAAAATTTAAACAAGATTTAAACAGCGGCCAAATAAGCGTTGATGTTAATAGTGAACTATTGTTATGGGAAAAGCATTGGATGCGCTGTGCAAAGGAACTTAATCAGTGGGATATTTTATTGGATTACGCTCAAACAAATAGAGAAAAAAATATGTTCCTTATTCTAGAAAGCTCTTGGCGGGTACCCGACTGGAATCTTATGAAAAATGCTTTGTCCAAAACGGAGCAGTGTTATTCCAAGCAATATGGGTTTAAATTGAATTTATACAAGGGCTATTTATCAATTCTGTATCAAGAGGATAGACAAGCCGCCAGTGTTGAGCGTTACGTTGAGGTTGCTTCAAGCTTATGCATAAGAGAGTGGCGGCGCCTACCCAGAATTGTATCCCACATTCACTTGCCATATCTTCAAGCTTCTCAACAAATTATGGAATTGCACGAAGCAAGCCAAATTCATCAGGGTCTAACGCAATCGAGAAATTCTTCCCTACATGACATGAAAGCCATCGTTAAGACTTGGCGCAATAGATTGCCCATCATTTCAGATGATTTATCACATTGGAGTGACATTTTCACCTGGAGGCAGCATCACTATCAAATAATAACTCAGCACTTGGAGCAACAGTCCGATCAAGGAAGTACAATGCTAGGAGTGCATGCATCAGCGCAAGCAATTATTTCATTTGGTAAAATAGCTAGAAAACATAACCTGACTGGAGTATGCCAGGAAACACTATCTAGAATATACACCATACCCTCGGTTCCAATAGTTGATTGCTTTCAGGTAAATAGAATATATTTTAATTTTTTTATCTTTCTTATGTATATAATATGTATATTTTGTATATATATTTTTATTTCATACATACATATTTCACAATGCACCTCAGAATCTGCATAGCTTATGCAGCCGTTGTGCTTTTATTTCGATTTAAAATCAGGATCGGCATTTTAAATTCCATTTAAAATTTTCACACTTGTATTAAAATCGAGCCCGGAATTAAAATATATATATTCTTTTACAGTCCCCAAATAGTGAAGCTTAGTGTTTTTGATAAATTAAAAATATTTATAAGAAGGAAAATAATTATAAGCAAGGCGAGCAGTAAAGAAATTTTTAGCTAGTCTTTACTTCGTTTCCTGATTCTGTTGCAATAATGCGAGGCAATCAAATTTATGTGTATAATTTAACTGTTAAACATGGAGTGAATTTACAATTTATAAATTTTTTTTATAGAAAATACGTCAACAAGTTAAATGTTACTTACAAATGCCCTCAACATCAGGACGCAATGAAATAAACGAAGCTCTTGAAGTAATTGAATCAACAAACTTAAAATATTTCACTGGTGAAATGAATGCCGAATTTTACGCACTGAAAGGCTTGTTATTAACGCAAATTGGCCGCACAGATGAAGCAGGAAAGTCTTTTAGCGCAGCAGTTCAACTTCACGATGGACTTACTAAAGCGTGGGCTATGTGGGGAGACTATATGGAACAGATATATCTTAAAGATAAACAAATTTCCCTTGGTGTTAATGCTTTAATCTGTTTTCTACATGCCTGCCGTAACCAAAACGAGAGTAAAACCAGAAAATACATAGCCAAGGTTTTATGGTTCTTGTCATATGATAATTCAAGCGACACCATGATTAGCACTTTTGAAAAATATGTATCTGGGATTCCTCCATCTTATTGGCTGCCGTGGATACCTCAACTACTTTGTTGTCTGGAACAATTTGAGGGCGATGTTATATTGAATTTATTGAGTCAGGTAAGTCTAGCTTATGCTGAATATCATGAATTGGCATTTACATTATTCTAGATTCTTTCTATATAAACACAAGTAAACATCTGCAGACTTAATACAGAAACTGTTTACCCAAAAACTTAATTTAAATTTCTTGTTAACAAAAACAAAAAAAAAAAAAAAACGAAAAATAATTATTGGTTTAAATTGTCTTTGTTTTATAGATTGGAAGACTGTATCCGCAGGCAGTCTACTTTCCGATTCGAACTTTATATCTAACTTTAAAGATTGAACAGAGAGAAAAACATAAATCAGCCGAGCAGGCGGTGTTCGCTGGTAAATTAACGTCTTCCGTAAGTACCACAATTTTACGAGATTCTAAGACAGTATATATTCACTTTATATTTTCACTTTTTTTAAATAAAAATTTGGTATATTTTTTAGAATCTCGAAAACATGGCATCAGTTTGCGGCAGAAATCCAGTGACGGTCGCGTCAGTCAACCCAATCAAAGCTACACCACCCATGTGGAGATGTTCGAAAGTAATGCAACTGCAACGTGAAGTTCATCCCACTATTTTAAGTTCGCTTGAAGGAATTGTAGACCAAATGGTTTGGTTTAGGGAGAGTTGGACAGAAGAAGTTCTTCGTCAGCTAAGACAAGGTTTGATTAAATGTTATGCTATTGCATTTGAGAACCGGAGCACAGTTGTCAATGCAACCATAACGCCACATACATTGCACTTCGTAAAAAAACTGGGATCAACTTTCGGTATCGGAATTGAAAATGTGCCAGGATCTGTCGCTTCTTCTATATCTCACTCTGCTGCATCAGAGTCGCTAGCACGACGGGCACAAGTAACATTCCAGGATCCTGTTTTCCAAAAAATGAAAGAGCAATTTACAAATGATTTCGATTTTTCTAAGCCGGGAGCGATGAAATTACACAATTTAATATCAAAATTAAAAACGTGGATTAAAGTTTTGGAAGCAAAGGTGAAAAAATTACCAACATCCTTCCTAATAGAAGACAAGTGCAGATTTTTATCAAACTTCAGTCAAAAAACCGCTGAAGTTGAACTACCCGGAGAATTGCTGATTCCTTCATCATCTCATTATTATGTGCGCATTGCTCGGTTTATGCCACGTGTGGAAATAGTTCAGAAAAATAACACTGCTGCTCGAAGGTTATACATAAGAGGTACAAATGGAAAAATTTATCCTTACCTGGTAGTTCTGGATTCTGGGCTAGGAGATGCGCGCCGGGAAGAACGAGTTTTGCAGCTAAAGAGAATGCTTAACTATTACTTAGAGAAACAGAAGGAAACAAGTCGTCGATTTTTAAATATAACAGTGCCACGAGTTGTTCCCATTTCACCTCAAATGCGACTAGCTGAAGATAATCCGAATAGTGTTTCATTGCTGAAGATATTTAAAAAGTGCTGTAATAATGCAAAAATTGACTACGATATGCCGATTGTCAGGTACTACGAGCGGCTTTCTGAAGTTCAAGCGCAGGGTACACCAATTTCACATACAATTTTAAGAGAGATTTTCAGTGAAGTACAATGCACTATGGTGTCCAAAACGCTTCTCAGGCAATGGGCCCTAAACACATTTGCTGCAGCCACCGACTATTGGCAGTTTAGAAAAATGGTGAGTTTACATTTAAGTATTATTCAAATAAATTGATTGGAGCTTCTTGCGTCGAAATCGCTTTTTCTTATATTAAATTAGTATTGTAAGGCACTTTGTGCTACGTCTATGCAGCTTACGTTTACCCCACACTTTGGGGAATGGAAACTTGAATAGCTTTGGAATCCCATCAATCAATTTTAATCTTTTGTTTATTCCAGTTAACACTTCAGTTGGCGTTGTCATATCTGTGTGAGCATGCTCTTAATTTAACACGGCTTAATCCAGATATGATGTACCTTCATCAGGATTCTGGACTAATGAACATATCGTACTTCAAATTCGATATACACGATGATAAAGAACAATTCAATCAACATCGACCAGTGCCGTTTCGACTAACCCCAAACATTGGCGAGTTTATTACAAACATTGGAATTTCCGGGCTATTATCTGCTGCGATTGTGGCAACAGCTCGTTGTTTTATTCAACCCAACTATAAACTAAGTTCAATTTTACAAACTATCCTTCGGGATGAAATTATAACTTTGCAAAAAAAAGGATTTCGGCAAAGTAAATTAATGGATACATCTCAAGAGCCTTGTGTTGATAATAACCCGATGGAAAACACTATTCGAGTCGTGAATTCTACTGTGGATATAATTTTACTACGTTTAAATAAAATTTCCTATTTCGACAACATAGAAAAAAAGAAAATTTCTGCACTCATTCAATCCGCAACTAATATAGACAACCTATGTCGAATGGATCCAGCCTGGCATCCTTGGCTTTGAACATTTCAAAAAGATTGTATTTATAAATTTAATTTAAGTTTAAAATATTGATATTGATTAAAATAAATTAAATTTTTATTCTAAAATGTAAAAAATTAGATCTTGTTTTTTTCGCTTAGAATTTTGAGAATGTCACTATCAACATTTTTTACCAATTTTAAAATACGGATGTAGAAATTGTGGGCCGTGTGTTTTGCATATTTAAATGTTTTTAATAAAAATGTTGTTAATACTCTCTAATCATTGATAATATTATAATAAACTTAAGAATTAGAAATCGTTTGATTGTATTTATAAAGCATATTTCATACATGTGGCAGCTAGTGCCAAGCGCACGCATTTTGCTATGGATGTGGATGGCGCCCCCATAGACGAGTAAAGGTTGTTAAAAAAGGACTTAACGTATGCGATTTTTATACTTTTTATTAATGTTAAAACAATTTGTAAACAACTCGACAGTTTTGTTAATGTTATTCAAAATATGTACATGTAAAAACTATATATATACATATTTATATAGAAACATAAACGTATGTTCATTGTGTAGGGGATTAGTTTTGTTATTCCTGCATTTGTAGAATTGCAGCATTCTGTTGCGAAATTGAGAATTTTAGGATACAAATTTTTCCAAAACTGTACTTTCTGATTATCTGCAAAATAGCCTGTATTAAATCGTTCGTCAATTATTATATAAGAATAGTTGGGTGGCGATATTGTGCTCCATTTAACATATACGTTCGACTTGGTAGGATTCGATGTTTTAGCGAAATTCGCCCATAATGTCATAATAATGTCTGCCATTTTTTTATCGGTTGAATTCCACTCAATAATATTGTTAACGTACGGAATACCCCAAACAAATATCTGGTCAAAATATTTTGGTACTCCTATCCAACTTGGTAGATCGGGACGAATAGATTTTGACCGAAACTTAAATATATAACTATAAACATTTTGATGCATACTTACAATGTCTACAAACATTTCTAATGGAGTTATATAGGATTTTTCCGTATGAGCATTGATTAAATTTGTATTAATAGTCATTTGGTCAGCATTATTTTTATCAGAATACATAAAGCTTATTGCATCAGAAATAATGGGAAAGTTTGTGCACCATTGATTGCTACCCCTTAGTTTATAAACATCATTTAATGCTATGTCTGAAAAAAAATTTGTAAGATCCTCTGGACTTAGCTCTAATGAAATGTATTCCTTCAAAATTGTAAGAACATCCTCCATGTCAGTAATGCCAACAATAACTGGTACTTTATGATAAGTTCCACTCCTAAATAACGCTTCCGGCTGGTTTTCGATAAATGGATATGATGTATTACTCAATCCAGAATCCACAATGGGACCCCATTGAATTGACGGTAGATTCTCAGATATAATTTTTGCGTCAACTCTCTTAAGACATTGAATAAAAATTGACGTTGGTCTTCGAGCACATCCGAATATATTTGATATTTTATCCAAATCGTCATTGAATTCATGTGGTAATCGAAGAGAGCTTAAAGGATTACCGGACATTATAATAGCTTTGTGGAAGGCTCCCTTTGACCATTCCCCGGATGTCATATGCAATGCGGTACTGACAGCTCCTGCGTCATGGCCCATTAATGTTATCCGATTCTCGTCACCTCCAAAATAATTAATATTTTTCTTTACCCAGTACAGTGCAGCCGACTGATCCATCAGTCCAAAATTGCCTTGAGCCTCACCATCATCAGTTGAAAAAAACCCAAAAATATTTAGTCGATATGAAAATGTAACAACTATAACTTTTTGTTTGAAAACGAGTTGAAATGGCTCAATGTCGTATGGGCTGCCCATTGAAAAATTTCCGGAATGTATCCAAACAACTACGGCATATCCGTCAACTTCAGGTGGTCCTTAAAATAAGTATTTCAAGTCAAATCAATTTCAATTAAAATTCAATTGGCATGACAAGTAAATATTTGGCTACAAGCGTCCCTGTGATTAATACTCTGGCAATGGCAATGGAATCGGCAAACTATTTTGCCAAAACAAAAAACTGGTTTTAAAAATAAACAGGATGCAAATCGAACAAAATTTAAAATCAAAGCCAAAAAATCGAATCCATCCGTGGATTTTGTGAAACTCAAATGTAATCTACATTCAGAATTTGGTGGCTTTAGCTAAAATGCTTTTAATTTGACTTTAAATGTGCACTAGAATTATTTTTAAGCGGAAAATTTTATGTTTTAATTTTGAATAGTTAATGTATGCGTTACTTACCGGCAGGTACAAATACATTCAAATGTAAACAATTCTCCTCGTATTTCTTTATGCGCGGTTCGTTAATATTTTTGCCTGATATAATATCTAACACTTTCTCTAATTGCACATTCATTGTTGGCCGGGCTTGTTGCCAACAACTCGATGCAAATGTAGTTGCGTTAAAGATTCCTTTCCATGGTGGCAATTCAATGTCAGGCGGAGAGAATCTGGCTGCGTGTGCATATCGGATGCCCAAGTAGGCTTTTATATTTTGAGTTCGGTACATTTTTAAATAGGTTCCAGATATAATTCCATTGCCGGGTATATGTATAAATGGTGCATCTACGCTATTTACACACATGTATAAGAAATTATAATTGACGTAAAAAAAAATACAAACATACAAATTCTTCAAGCACATCTTGAATTTTAGTTTTCTTTGCACATGCCTGGATGGTTTAAAATCAAATACCATCCAATACGACTAAACATTCATTAATTCAGTTACCAAGGTGCAATAAATGAAATAAAAACAAGCAAGCTAATAAACGCCGTTGCCAAGCCATTGTCGCCATGGAAACAATCAAATTTGGATGTTAAGCCTTTGTTGCTAAGCAAATTATGAGGTCTTCGATGCACAAAATCAGATATAATATAGATTAGCTCTTACCCAGTTTCCGCCCCTGGTATATTTCATTTTTTCTCTACTATATTACACTTCACTTCTAGCTAAAAACGTATTAAATCAAATTTAACAAAGATCTCTGAAAATGAGTCTAAGGCGGATCCGCAAATTTTGACGTATCCAATAAATGTTCCCCAAGATCTTTCAAAATGTGTTTAATTCGGTAAACAAATTCTTTAATTTCTTTTTTTAATTTTCGGTAATTAATTTTCCCAAAGATCGCTGAAAATGATTTTGAAGATAATCGAATGATAAGCAAACCGCTTCCATAGAATATATTTCCGCCAATTTACCACAGTATTTTGTATTTTGCAATGTTATATATTTTACTTATTCGAAGCTGGAGCAAACGGGTTTGTAACAAAGGTAACGAAGGTTCAAGGCATCTCTTAGCCGGGCACTCCCGACTAGAGCACATTAAGTAGGTACAGGGTATGACATCCTTTCTACATATTTTTAAAACAGTAACCAAATAGTGAATTTAAATCAAAGAATATTAATATATAGTGGGCTTTCATTTGAAAGTCTTGTTTACTAAATAAATACACTTATTTTTTATGCGACCTATAAGAATCAAAAATATTAAAGCATGGATAATGATTTTGCATCATGCCAAAATTTTTCAAATGGTTCCAGCACCTCGGTTCACTCAGAGCTACCGCCATGCACAAAAACCAAAAAGGATAATAATCAAGATAAAAAATCTGAACACGGATCATCGCCGCAATGCTCCAACATAATCACAAGCTCAACCACCTCGTCATCGACAACCATATCACTGGGCGCCTTACATTCTGATACCCAATGTCAAAAAGCCGCGGAACACGAGCCTCCACACATTGGCTATGAGCTGAGTGTAGCCAAGTCGGTGCTGCAACAATATAGCACATTAAGTGGAGACAACTTGTGAGTATGTGAATTCACCTATAAATTAAAGCTGTCATTAAAATTATAAAAGGGCCACTTTAGTTTCATAATAAGAAGCGATCCTTACATTGAATGGATTCAAATAGGTTCCGACAAATTATCTATATACTTTAATGCCTAACATATTTCGGAATTTATCCATTATTATTATTTATTCTAGTAAGGCTGTCGCAAGGCTCTATAAATCAACACATAATTTTCCATGGTACGCAAAAATCTTATGCTGTGCACATGCCCTCTCATCTCTTCCATTTTTTGCCAAGATAATATGCCTTTCGATTATGGTTTCGTTTCGGTCGACACGACATTATATCAATAAAAGTCACGCTATCACGCAACCTTTAGAAAATAGCCCGTACTCGGCATCTACAACCGAGTCGATCTAGCCATGCCCGTCTGTATGAATTGAATTGTTGACATAAGTCTCAAAGTCACACTTTTTTAATGGGTCATGGCATACAAATATTAAGTATTTTGTATCTTAATATTACAGATTTGATCATCTAAGTGATATTGTAAAACGAGTTGTTGATGAACGACCTCCGAATGTTATTGATTTTTTTGAGGAATTCAGTAGAAATGTGCGTGAGCAAAAATTTCATGTACCAGAACGCTTTCCGCCTAACGGCGTTTTCGCTGACAGTCGGATGTTTCGTCCTGCGAAAAAAATATTGCATTCAATAAAGGTGTGTATTGCGTTTAGGTATATTTAATGATAATAACTAGAATTATCATTAGTTACCCCACAATATTGAAGGTATTGACTTTGGTGGCGAGGAGGACCTTCCTAGTGAAGAGGCATTCACATATGGCGATGGGGACCTTCGGATAGACCTCGATGATTCCATGCGCTTGTTTGTAACATTTAATGAACGCGTTGAACAGCTTCAATTCTTTTGGAACCAATGCGGCTTTAGTATTAGTAAAGATGATATCTTTCAATTGGCAAGCTCCATAAACCGACTACAGACACATCCATCAATAATGCAATGTCGATTTTGGGGTTGCATAAATGGATTGAAAGGTTCTTACTACATCGTGGAAGCCTCACTCACACGCGAGGAATTAAATTCCCGAATGGCCATGATGGAAGAAGAAATGCGAGAAAAGCAACTGCCTTTTAAAATGAGGAAAAATCAGGAGCAAAAGCCTCTACCAACGCATATAGGACCCGAATTAACTCCAGGAGTTTATGGATGGGAAACTTATGCTTTAGAGGATTTGGAAAAGATGACACCAAAAGCTGAACCAGTGCCTTTAGCAGAGGAAATCGAATTTTACGATATACCACCAGAAAATGTGGGACTCGGATGCAATCGTTACTCATATTTTGTGGTCAACTGCTTATATAACGATTGGATTGAGTTACCTATAGTTACGCCACGACAAATTGTAGTTTCTCGCCAAATCAAAAAGTTCTTCACTGGCGATTTGGAGGCTGATGTTGTATCATATCCATGTTTTCCAGGAAAGGAAAAACATTATTTGCGTGCAATGATTGCTCGTATTACAGCTGGCACCCATATTGCACCGCAAGGTTATTATAGACGGATGACCAAGAAGGAGAAAAATCTTTTTGATGGCATCAACCTTGACGAGGAAGAGGAGGTCGAGGAAGAAGATAATTACAATGAAGGTGAAGAAGAGGAAATTCAAGGTAAAGTATTTATTACCGACTGTTGTATAGTGTATTTCCTAAAACACTACAAATACTTAAATACCCTACTATTCCCAATGGAGACTCCTTCAAACCCAAAAAGGTTTAAATATTTCTAATCCTTCTTCAGATATTTTGAATAATTTTCAGTGTATATTTATAGATAAATAATTCTCCAAATGTAAGAGACTTTGGCATAAAAGATTTTTGTATAGAGCTTACCTGCATCACTTCCTTAAGCTGTGTTTTCCTTACGACTTATCACATATATAAACGATATTCTTATCTTATCGGAGGTTATTATGTCTTCTCGCATGGATGCCGTTGCGCCGTGTCTTGTCCTACAATCCATCCACTATGAATTAGACCACATCACTCGTGACCGTGTCTATTATGCTACACATCACAGCAAAGCATTGCAAAGCACTTTCTCTCTTGGCGATTGAACGAGCCTCCAACCGGTTTCCATTCTCCCACGCCTACAGTTTCTGTTGGTTTAATGGTGCCACATGGTAATCCTTCGCCGATATTTAACTAGAATCCAACGCTTGGCAGCGAAAACGCGATGTTTTTAAAATTACAAATCGAGTGAGTTACCTCATATTCATCCTCTCCAGAAAACGCATCAATGTGCGTTAAGTCGATGCGGTCTACTGGCATTCTTGCTAGTGCTGTTGCTTTCTTCTCCTTAATTTGCGATCAGCTACGATCAGCGAAAAGGCTATCAAGTGAACGAACATTAGCTACAGATTATCAGCAATCATAATTTTCACCTGACAGGTTTCTCTTCTTTACATTTACTTATGAAATCTATCTTGTTAGATAATGATGTAATGCTCATGAAAAATGAACGCTTTGAGATAGAACCCTTAAGCTCATTGGCGACGCCCGTTGCCTGGGTTCATTGCCGACCGAATATCTTGAATCAGGGTCGTGTTGTATGGTACGATGAAGAAAAAGCTCGCAAGGAGCGGGAAAAAATGCTTGCGTTATATATAAAGTCGCGGCTTTTGGAAGAAATGGAGGAGGAGATTGAAGAAGAAGAAGCGGAAGGCGAAGAAGAGGGTGAAGAAGAAGAAATGCTTGAAGGGTTCACGCATCCAGAAACAGGGCCTGATATTTTATCGTCATGTGCCAGCGACATGAGCAGGGAATGTGCATTCCCGTGGTTAGTGCGTTTTACGAGCAGGTATACGAATCAAAAGGAGCGCCTGTTGGTGTTGCAATCAAATGTATGGCCTGGGGCTTTCACTTTCGTTTTTGAAAATACTTGCGAATCAGTATATTTGGGATGGGGACATAAATTTTGCCAACGCAACATACCATTTAAGCATTTGGCTATAGTTCAAGAAGAATTTCCTCACCAGGCCGATGACTTTATTGAAGCTACTGATCCAACTCTTGAAGATGAACTTGCGTATAAGAATTGGCTTTTAAATAAACAAAAAAGAGATGTCAGCATTGGAGAAGATATTAATGAATATGACGCCGATGATTTGGACGATATCTATGACAACGATGACAATGATGATTAAAATTATAAAAATAAAAGTTATTTGTAGCACTTAGTATGTCAATGTTCGTTAAATAAATACGTGTAATTATAATGTACAAAATTGTAGACTTTATATAGATTTTTAAGCGGTAGAACCCGATGCTAAAGTGAGTGCTTAAAATATTTATCGAGAAATTCGGTAGTTCCCAATGTTCAAGCTTATTTGGCTACTTTCTGCGATAACGCAGAGGCGCAAGATGACTTTTCTTTCTTTCAAAAGCAGTCTATTCATTATTGTAGGTCAACAAAATTTATAATTGTGTGCACAGCACTTCAGATGACATGGGCAGGTGCTTATCAATGCAAATACGGATCAAAGACACCGACCAGATCATTCTACAGGCCACAATTATATACAACCGTTCATATTCCTAGGTCGTGGGCAGAATGCCTGTTGAAGTCATACACTCAGCACCACGCGAGTTAGGAAAAGAAAAAAAGAATCAAAGTGGAACAATTGCAGTTGGAACAACCCATCTAGAAAAAAAAAAACTTTTTGTCCAGAGTCGAACAAAGTTATCGAAAGCAGAAAAGTTATTTTATAGATTATTTATTAATTTAGAAAGAAATTAAGATGGGTCTGCCAGCAAATAAAGAGAAACAGTGCTTTGTAACAGTTAATCCGTCGGCTAAGGCTGTGCACGCAAAAGGCAAGAACAATGAAAATGTTCTGCAGACACAGGCAGAGATTGAAATCGGAGAACGAACAAAATTAATCGGAAAAGTCACCCGGAATTTATTATAAAGCGCATGCGTTAAAATATAACAAGTACACATAGTTATCAAAGTATAAAGGAGCTATGCTTTGTTTAAAAGAAACACAAAAGTATATTTTAATTTTAATGTTTTTTCTTATAATTATATTGCCGTCAAAAATTGATGCTGACGAAAAGAATATCAATAGACTTTTAAACAACCAAGCCGTTGTTAGTCGCCAAATTATGTGTATTCTTGAAAAAAGCCCGTGTGACCAATTGGGACGACAACTTAAAGGTACATTTATATTATATGTATATATAAATAAGCAATTAAATATTTTACAATGAATCTGTTGCCTATTCTACGCTTTATAAGCATAGGGTACTACAGATAAGATCACAGCAATTCAAGAAATTTTCTGTTTTTTTTTTTAATGTTGAAAAACGGATTCTTCATTTAAAAAATATTGACTGTTCCTAAAAGCAAATTACATTGTAATCTATCAATCAATAAAATTTACTTAAATGAATCAAATTTATGGTTCATCTCTATCAATTTGAAGGTAACAGGACGATTCAAAACCCTGTACATTTTCGGAGCAGGAGAAACACTTCTCTCTTACTTAAAAGAATTCCTTATGTATAACGTTTGAATATTTCAATTTCTTCTTCTAGCTGCTCTACCTGAGGTTATAACAAGAAAATGTCGCAATTGCTCTCCCCAACAAGCTCAAAGTGCACAAAAACTGACATCATTTTTGCAAGCTCGCTATCCGGACGTTTGGGCAATGCTTTTGAAAAAATATCAAAATGTCTAAACTTGTTGCATGAATTTAATTGTTACTGTAAGAACGCTCAGAATACATAACTCGAAATTTGCAAGCTTAGTTAAGTGATTATATTATTTTATTGTAAGTTTCTTACTGTAATAAGTCAAATATACGCCTCAAATGCCGTTTTAAGCAAAGCCTGTTCTTGTCATCATTAAAATAAGCATTGCTATTGCTAATCTTAAGTCGTACAGATAAATTTATTCATGCTACTACGTTTGCTGCTGCCTTTACTCGCCACGGAGCTTATCTTAGTTTAATTTTAATTAGTTTAATTAAATATAAAAAAAAAAAAATCATTTTAATAAAGAAAGCATATTCGAAAATGCTCTTCTTGCTTATCAGCTCGCTAAAAGGCTAGACATATATTATTATTATAATTATTTTTTATTATTTTTGGATAATTGCAAATCCGAAGGAGTTAAGGAACCCGCTCAACAGTTAGCCTGAACGCAGCCTGATTATTATTATTATTATTATTATTTCTTATTTTATGAACTTCGAACCCTTTTTTGTCAAATCTCTCCTATGTTAAATTCAAGACCGCTCTGTGCTATTACAAAAAGTTCAAGCGACTTGGAGGTACTTACTCCTGGCCATTTTCTCTGGCGCAAGTCGAGCACTTCTATTGCGTTTGCCACAGGCAGCAGACTTTTTGGAAGAGTTGGAGCATCGCTTACCGCTCCCAAGAGAAATCTACAGCCGGGCGACATCGTGCTACTCAAAGAAGGCAACATTCCCCCCTGAGATAGCCTCTCGGACGAGTCGACAGAACAAAACATTTGGCTATTGATGCTGATCAAGAATTTATATATATACTTAATTGGATTCAATATTTTAAAATTTCAGGGATATGAGGAAAATCCAAAATAAAATCTTTCTTGAAGTTCTAAAAAATTGAGAAAAGATTCTCACAAAATAATTAATAAATAGCAATTAACGTATGATATACGAAAATATATATTTTAAAATGTCAAGACTTTAGTATTGTTTCCCAAATCGATGCGTTGGTTGATAACACTGACGAACTGAAGTCTACAGCAACTTAGGTTTTATCTCGATTAAGCATAAACTCATTTGCAATGGGCTTCGGGGATGTTTAAACTTAATTACATTTTCCAGAAATATTTAAGTGCGTGAGGTTGGTATTTATAGTTAAGACTTATAATTTATCAAGCCACAACAGGAGCCTAATTTTTAATTAAACTACTTGAAAGTACGTAACCTTCTTACCTCGATCCTCCAAATGGGTCCAGTAATAAATTCAACTATGGGTCATATAAGGATCGTTAATTTCTGTCATAGGTAGTGATATTAAGAACATCGATGCGTCGCGTTGTCTATCCAAAACCAAAACCGTTTTGTTGATTTAAACTCCAAACATTTATAAAAATAAAAATAAAAGCAAAAGAAAAATAAAAGGCTTGATATAGATACACTTGTTTATTATTGTAGGTTGTATGTTTAAATGAATGCTAAAAGTGAATTCTAAAAGTTAGTATAATTCGAGTTGTGTTATACAATATGACGTTCAACACCACAACGTAACAAACGTAAGACAACGTTAAAATTAATCAAAATAATTAGATTTCCACTTGTTTTGTTATCTAAAATTTTGGAGATTTACAATGTACTTGCTTCTAGGTTTGGAATGTTATGTAATCCGGTGTCTGGATTGGCCCAGTAGTAATTGGGAGGACCTTGGCTAAAACAATATTTCATATCGAGTGGTTCTCCTTCGTCTACGTAGTACATTAAGTAAAAATTACACATTTCATCTTCATTTGTTGGGCTTTAAATAGATAAATAAGTATACATTATTAGAAAAACCCATTTAATTTTAATTTTTCAAGTTTTAAATATGAAGAGTAATCGAAAATCGTGTCAACACCAACAAGCCGCGACTTCGGCATTCGTAAGTCTGGCTTTTTGGCATTTAAATAGCGAAAAACCAAGGTTAACAAATTTTGCATCGCATTAAAACATACAAGCGTTTCTCATCTTAGTGTTGATAATCTCTTTGATTAAAGTGTCAATTAATGACTTATGACGATAATAAACTTTTTTTAATAATAATAAGATATATTCTCGTAGTTGAATTCCGTTGCATACCCTAACTTATACAATATATTAAAAAAGTCTCGAATAAAATTGTACGCTAGATTAAAGCATATAAAAATTGTTAGCAAGTAATAATAAAAATCTATAATCGACAAATTCGGTGTAGCTACTCCTAGTCAGAACTTTTACAGAATTGTAAACTTAACTGCTGTCTTGAATTTAAACACTTATTAGAGCTCATACAATTCCTGTCTTGATTCAAAAAAAGAAAATACGACATTCATAAAAAGTGTAAATAGTCTCACCCGATTTCTGTAGTGCGTTGACGAGTGCTTTTCATAGTACACCTGGCAGCGACATAATCACCGGCTACTATAGGTGAGTTGTTTTCAACATTATAAAACATTTGTGGTGTAAGTGGATCCCTCTTTCCAAGTAGCGTCCACTCTTGAACTCCATGAGCATTGGATCGAACCCTATATCCAGAAACAACTTTTCCTAACCCATGTGTATGAGTGCGATAAGCAAAGGGATGAATCGTTTTATTTTCAGTTATCTCACAGGCGGCCTCCATATGTTCTGTCTTCATTGGAGGAATTACTCCGTCAGTACCCAAAAGTAAGGTACCGGCTAGCTTTGTAAGTCTGTAAAAATAAATCAACACAGAATAAGATTAAATACAGATTTAGAACTAAAAAACTTACGGTTTTTCAGTATACTGCAAAAATATACCAGAATCATCGGTAGATCCGTCTAGGGCAAGCAAAAATATAATTTTTAAGGAATATATATATATAATCTATTATCATACCTTTGAATTTACCAACATGAGCGTAATGCACTTGTAAGACCAAATATTTTGTCGGTGAATTCTTGCCTACTTTAAATCCTACACCCGAAGGTAAATCCAATTTTGGTGCATCTCTTGCCCAAGCATATAAAATCTAATGAAGAGAATTTAAGGGTGTATTTATCATTTAAAAAAGCGCGAACGACTATCTTCGACACTCCGAAGCATCAAATATAATACTGCAGCTGTTTCATTCCAGATCCCAACGGATGTAGGATTCATTATTCTAACACGGCAGTTCTCGGCTCTGAGCAAGCAATTTTTAAAAAGTAAACTAACCTGAGAATGAGATTGGGCACCGCAGGGACTTCCTGTATCCTCATCTGCTGATTTCGTCATTTCTCCACAGTTCCTGAGAATAAATTATTGGTTTAAAAGTTTTGTAAACAAAAAAATATAGTTTTAGAAAATAGTTGAGTTGTTGTTAGTTGAACCAAATAAAATACAAAGAAGGCGCTTTTCTTGTCAGCAAAACTGAGCTATGGGAGGTATTCATGTGGCGTCTAGGCGTCGGATGTGCGAGCACATATTATTGCAAGGCAGAGTTCAATGCGTTAAACAGATTTTTTGCGAGATATCTTCTTTTTTTATATTATATTAATATAATAGTATGGCCTTTGAGTGTACTAAATAACTTACCAGGTAAGTTTCGTTGTTCCTGGTTCACCGCATCCATAAAGCAACATATGATGAGCAGTATTCATGGTTGCGTTTGGTTTGTAGCCAACTGTTCTTAAACATATTTTGATTAAAAATACACAAAACAGTCTAAATTTCTTAATTTTCACGTACCAATATAGTACGATGTTGTTGGATCAACTTTGATGGGAGTGCACAAGTACAAATCCGGCTAAAATATAACAATTTAAATATATTTTTCACTAAATCAGTCAATCAATAATAATGTGCAAAAATATGTGCATGATCTTCTTAAATAATCTTGTAAGGTTATAGGTTTCCAAAGTATATACCCTGGACCCAATGAAAATTGGGTACAAGGACGGACTCATATGGCTAGATCAACTCTGAACAAGTGAGCGAGTTAGGAACCAGGACCAAAACGACCCTCCCTTTTCTCAGCTGCCTCATCTTAATGTTCTTAGTGTTTTTACAAGAAGTAAAAAGTGCCCAGAGCAATCGTCAAAGGAGCATATGCCGACGAGACTACATCTATACTACATACATATATTGAATACGCATAATTCATATGCTTCCATGCAATCACATATATATATATATTAATTGTATATCTTACAGTTTGTGGCGAAACCGATGGCATGAGGAATGGAAACGAACCACTGGCATGTTTGCCATAATCCTTTCCATTTACTGGATACGTGACTGATTGCTGATCCACAAGTCCATACGCAGTTATAATATTCCAAAGTAATAACACGGAATAACAAACTGATATTGCCATTTCGACATGAACGTATAATGAACGTTATTATAATTATAATTAAACAAAAAGTATCACCCTTTTGTAAAACATATGTTCTCAAATATTAATTGTCTTTTCTAGCATACGATGCACTAGAGGTGGGACACCATTAAAATCTTGCTGACTTGTTAGAGCTCGACTCCAGAACAATTACCGATACCGATATTTTAATCCACAGATACTATCGATAGATCATCAAACTTCTTATCAACCGATTAAAGAATTCTGAGAGTGGCTAAATACGGTACTACTTATTGTCAGCACACACCGATTAAATTTTCGGTGAACGAATGAAACTTATTGAAAATGTGAAGCTGCTGTTCACATAGCCAACAAATAGCATCTTTCAGTATGGTAGCCTAAGTAAGCAATGTGAACATAAGTTAAAAGTTAAATAAATAATTATATATAATTTGGAAGAAATTCCATTAGCTGACTATTTGCAGTGCTGTATGTTATTTTCTTCAGCGTGATCCACGCTCGGCTTGGTGGTCAACACCACCACTGCTGCTGACAGAGACTTCAGGGTCGAATCTAATCATGAAATTTTCGACATACTAACTAATGCGCTAACTAAATAAATATTATTCTTAGAACTTATCATGGTTATTCGCCGTGACTGCAGCATGGTTCTCAAACGAGCCCAACTAAAGGCCTTTGGTTGCTAAGAAATTAATTGTGTAATTTTGTATTATTATTATTTTTTAACCTACCCCAAATTATTATATATATTTTTTTCTAATTAATACTATATTACAATAAGCACTTAAATTAATTTATTATAGCATACAAATTAATTTATATTCAAATACGGCTTTTGCGATTTGGCTGCAAAAAAATTGTATTAGCATCGGCTTAAAGTATATTGATTTTTTACCTAACTATGCCCAGTTCACAACAAATATATGCGAATACATATATAAATATATCATGTAATCTCAGTAAACTGACAAAATGCAAAGATAATATTTTTCACGGCCCTCATTCCATATTTTTAGCGTTTTCGCCCTTTCAGCTAAGAGAGCGCACGGCTAAAGATATATTTTCGTTCTTAACTATGAAAAATCTCTGTTTCCAGTGTACCACAATTGACGCTATTCTGCATTGTATATGTTAATGTTAACTTCACTTTTTGGTCATTTACAACACAGGTACTGTCAAATTATAATAACACTTCAATATTTCGTCGCTTGCATTTTGTAAAATTCAGTTCTTAATTTATGTGATCCGTGATGTTGTTTGTCAATTATTAATCATTGTCCGATTCATAAACAAACATGGATTTTATTGACGATTTCATAGAAGAGTACAAGAATAATCCGTGCTTGTGGAAAGCCGATTCAGCAGACTTTAGAAATCGAACAAAACGACAAGAAGCGTATATCAAATTAATTGCTGTGGCGACTAAACATGGAGAGCTATACAATGTTGAAAGGACTAAACAAAAAATTAACAATCTTCGGTGTGCATTTCGTCACCAGCTTCGAAAGTATAACGAAGTTAAGAAAAAGGGGGAAAAATATGAACCGTATTGTCCAAAGCGAAGATATTTTGAGTCACTTATGTTTCTAAAAGATGAGGAAATCCCTGAAAAGAAGTTAAAACGGGAAGAATCCCATGCCCTACCCTTACAACATAATATAGATACTACAGTTGTGCAGCCTGAAGCTTGCGATGAGTATTCTGATGCTGAGAGCTTGTCCAAACAATCTAAGAACGAAAACAAATTGTCGCCCAGCAACAGCAACAGCGCAAATGATTTCTGTGCCAATATATTTGATGAAGCAGAAGTTGATCCAATTGTCAGTATCCAAAACGTCAATTCCAACCACCAGGCATCAATTAAGGAAGTTGAGGTAATACTGCCACCCGAAAACCATAATATGTCGGAAAGAAGGAAATCGTTTAATACTTCCATAACCAACACTTCAAACGACAAAATTAACTCTACCGTACACGCAGCAGATTCAAATCGCGATAAACGCGTGATCACGCGTCATAAATACATCAAAAACAGCAGAAAACGATCATCATCCGTGTCATCCCAGGTTTCTTGCGACAATGAGATGCAGTCGGGAAAATGCAGGGCAGACATTTCCAACATTGATCTTGACCGGCTGCTTTCGCTAGCCCTCAAAAATTCAGATAATCAGCTGGATGATCATTTCACAAACTTTGGAAAGATAATTGCTCATAAGTTGCGATCAATGGAAAATGCACAAGCTATATATGCCGAAAAGATTATTGCCGATGTCCTCTATCAGGGCCAGATGAAACTGTTATCTGCATTAAGTATAACCCAATTCCTAGGTGTAGATAATACAACTGTTTACGTTGAAAGTCCTCCAAAATAATTTTACCCAAAACTAATGTTATAATAATAATACTATGAAATTATATGCTTACATTTCGGCTACCAAAAATGTGATTTTATCTTTGAACTTAATACGCCTCTCTAGTCAAAGCGTAATTACTAATTTTACTTTTAGTTGAAATACCAAATCGCCGGCGCGCCGAACATTTAATACATTCCGGTAAATACTACCGATGAACGAAATACCGTTAAGCTTTGTTTCAATGCGAGCTGTAAATAGGCTGCGCGTGAACAGTTTAGGGTCCATGTTTAATATTATATGAACCATTTGAAGCAGAGTCTTATATTATTTATCCTTTAAACTTAATATGATATTTTAATAAATGTCGAAGTTAAAGTAAAAATTACCGAGCATCCAACATACATAGGTAAAATTCATTTCTGCGTCAGCAAAAGCCACTATAAATATTTTATTTTGTACCCTAAACCCATTTAAAATGAGTTCAAAAGATATAATTGTTGTTTGCAGATATATTTCAGGGGCAGAGTGAGAAATCTACGATCCCAAAGAGTAGTTATATTTGTGGTCAGCATCAATAGCCGTGTTAATGTAGCCATGACGACATCAGAACCTGTACAAGAGCTAGAGACCCATAATTCCCGCGCAGTACGAGTTTGTTTCTGATGACATATAGGCTCTTAAATGGTAATAATAGATCAAGTATTACAGATTTTGCAACATATTTAAAAATGGAACGATCCTTCTTTGCTGAGTATTGCCCCATTCGATTGGAATGCGCCATCCCCAAACCTTTTCCAATCCATGACTTTACCAACCTGGCAGTAAAAATCGGTACATTGCCAGGTGAGTCATATTTGACGTGAACATCTACTATTTGCTTACCCTAAAATAGGAGATGGCTCCCCCAACCATCTCACCTTCCACTCGACTATGTTTGCGGTTATGGCCGCTGAGCTGATGACGCTAAACAAGAGAAAGCTTTTTCGGCTAAAATAGTACCTGGATATATAAGCTGGTTGTTTTCATCGAGTTTCATGTTCTTGTCAGGATGAACATATTACAATGGCAATCACAAAAAAGGTATAAATATAAGGCTAAATAAAACGAATTTATTAAAAGTAAATAATTAAGATTAATATTTAAAACTTTGTTTTTAGAATTAGTGCTTTTAGGTAAACTAGCAAAGCCTAGGTAAACTTACATATAAAACATGTTAGAGAAATCTAGATAGGATTGATTGTCTTTGAACCTTCTTATACTAACACTAGCTTTATTAATATTTATAAAATTAATATTATTGTGCTTTTTGCTAGCTGACAAGTCGCTTGCCTAAGTGTTCTTTATCATCTTTTTTGGCTGCTTGGCCAGACAATTGTTCGGTGATCCCTAAATCGAAAAGGTTACACTACTTTAATACTCTGACTACGCATGATTCCACTTCGATAACAAATTAGAACATGTTTAAATTTCACTCAGGCTGAAATACAAAAGCAATATACAGGATTGATAGAATGTAGAGTCAAATTACAACGCATCATCAATCTGACCTAACTGCAGACGAATCAGTTATTGGGACCACTACCAGAAGACCGAGTGCGAGAAGGTGTCTACCCCTTGCAACGAGCGAGACTAGACTTCGCAGGGCCCAGTTAGATGCATTTTAACATACTAGAGAAGCTCCCAATTAAGATGAATTTCGCTGTAATGGTATGCCTGAGGAAGGCATTCCATATAAGGATCGTGGCGGAATTGAGTGGTCTTGAGTGCTATTTTCCGAAGATAGTTATTGAACAAGGTGCGTTTTGTAATATATCTAGTTTACTTTTTAATTTGCCTACAAAATTTATTATTGGTATCGACGAAGTCGAGTCGTTTAAATAGCGAAAAGAAAAGGGACAGAAATTTGGCGTCGCATTCAAATGTATTGGCGTTACTTATCTTAGGGTATATTAATATTAATACTGAATATCTGTATATCCAACTGATGCAATATTCACTCTTTTGTTGAAAAAACGACGATACTGTGACTAAGTACACATTTTATAAGAGCTCATGCATTTAAGTATTTATATTCGATTGTCTACTCGATAACATGTCTATCTAACCGAACTCTAATTTTGGAAAGTAGATACATAATTGTCAGTTTAATGTATATTTATTTTTATTTAGGTGAGTTACAAGTGTTTAAGAATTCATCTATTAAAGTTATTGGTTTAAAATTTAATGTCGACCCTAGACACTGTCGAAACATAAACAATATTCGTCGTTAAGAAATTAAAAAATATATGTAGTTAAATTCGGCTTAGAATTTCAAAATATCATGTTCTTAAACACTAGAAATTGACATGCGTAAGCAAGTCTAGTTATCTTATAATTTTTATTGGTACATAGTAATTTAAATTTATTTCAGATCCAAGCGAATGTGTTTTAAGCTACTGAATTAGAAATGAATCGTAGAGGTTTAAATACTGGAAATACGATGACTTCTCAATCAAATATTGACGAAGGAAACTGGAAGAGCGTAACAGAAGGCTCCACTATGTTACCTTCTACGAACTCTTCGTCTCTAAATCCAGACGCCAGCAATCAGAGTGGATTTCCCCAAGGAGGACTACCATACACTGCGAGTGGGAACCCATATCCAAATGCTGGCCAATCTTCCCCTGCCGGTAATCAATCTTTGGTGTTTCAAAATACTAATCAACCCGGATCAAATACTCCCCAATATACTTCATCGCCAGCACCCTCTGGCTCATCAACCCCTGGTCCAGTGGGTGTTGCATCCCAAAATATACAGGGAAACTATTCACAATCCTCAACATCAGGCAATTTCAATGGACCAGTTGGGGGGCCATTTGGATCACCGTCTTCCGGTTTGGGTCAATTCAGCCGACCAGCAAGTTCAGGTACTCCATTTAACAGTGGACAAGCGGGTCACTTTTCCTCCCCTACAGTTTTCGGAGTTGGAAGCCAGTTTAATCCGATGCCACCCGCATCTCCATTTGGTCATGGCGGAAACCATCCTATGATGGGTGGCCCTCAGCAAATGGATAGAATTGATCAAGGCTTCAGGAGGCACAACTCGTACTTCAGTCATACAGAGCATCGAGTGTTTGAGCTAAACAAACGCCTTCAGCAACGAAATGAAGATAGCGATAATTGTTGGTGGGATTCGTTTACAACAGAGTTTTTCGAGGACGACGCACGATTAACAATATTGTTTTGCTTGGAAGACGGACCAAAGCGATATACAATTGGCCGAACACTTGTTCCACGTTTCTTTCGAAGCATTTTTGAAGGAGGTGTCTCTGATTTGTATTTTCAGCTCAAGCATGCTAAGGAATCGTTTCACAATACGTCTATAACATTAGATTGCGATCAGTGCACTATTATAACTCAGCATGGTAAACCATTTTTCACAAAAGTGTGTGCAGATGCAAGACTTATTCTAGAGTTTATGTATGATGACTACATGAGAATCAAATCGTGGCATATGACTATAAAAGGACATAGAGAACTCATTCCGAGGTCTGTAATTGGTACTTCGCTACCTCCTGATCCAATGCTGCTTGATCAAATAACAAAGAATATTACTAGGGCTGGAATAACAAATTCAACCTTAAACTACCTTCGATTATGTGTAATACTTGAGCCAATGCAAGAACTTATGTCACGCCACAAAGCGTACGCACTAAGTCCGCGTGATTGCCTAAAAACAACTCTATTTCAAAAATGGCAGCGTATGGTCGCGCCACCGGGAAAAAAAGATCCGCAAAGACCACCAAACAAGCGTCGTAAAAGAAAAGGGTCAAATTCTGGAGGTGCCAACAACGCAAACACCCCGCCTGTGGCAAATCAAAAGAGATCGCCGTCAGGTCCCAGCTTTTCATTGTCTTCCCAAGATGTGATGGTCGTAGGTGAGCCAACATTAATGGGAGGCGAATTTGGCGAAGAAGATGAAAGGCTTATTACTCGTTTGGAAAATACACAATATGATGGAACCAATGCAGTCGAACACGACAATCATACTGGTTTTGGGCATGCAGATTCACCGATATCAGGCTCAAACCCGTGGAGTATGGAACGGACAGGTACTATTCCAGCTAGTCCTGGTAATGCATCTGGACCGCAAAATAATGCTAATATAGCTGATATAGATAAAAAGAGCCCCATTGTATCGCAATAGAATCAAATGGTATAATCCGAAATTATAATATAATTTTAAGATACATATGTGGTGAAATGTATTTTCATACTTGCATGTAAAAATAATTTTAAATAAAGTTTCTAGCCTTTAAATGCGGTTATTTTTGTGTTGAATATTTTTCTATTTATGTGCTTCCTGTACTAAAACGCCAAACTTGAGCCAAGCCTCGTCGAAAGCGGATGAGATCCGACTGAGTTATGAGGGTGGGATATTTTGACCTATGTCTGTATAGGATTTTTGAAGCTACCATTTTTATATAAATTTTGGACCAAGAATAATGTTGTCAGTTTTAAGTGCCAAATTGATCTAGAGGTCAAAGCATGAACAAAGAACAAAGTCTCGTTTAAATCGGATGAAATTTGTCCAAGTTATGGGGGTTGGAAATTTTAACTTGTCTAGATTAGCGGGTATACCGCGGCGTTGCTTGTGGACGCTTAAAATAAATTATTTCAAATATTTTTAAAATGTTTTAGAATGTTAAACAAAAACAAATATTCAAACGTTTCTTGCGATTATTCGACACATACGGATGGAATTTAGCAAAACCCTGCCTTAACGTGCCCTTTCATCGCAGTGAACATTTCAGCTTCCATGCTTTAACGGTATAGGCTGTGTGTTGTTCATCACCAATCAGTCAGTCAGGACAATCAATTGTTATTATAACTGTTAGTTACTGCTATTTTTATTATAACTCCTGTTCATGTTTTTTTTTTTTTTGTTTCTGCGATAGTTTTGTATAGGCCGTTCGCTACAGGTGTTAATTTTATGAGTGTTGGTAATATTTGTGCGCAGTGTGGGACTACCCCTAAGAACCAATAAGCCAGCCGGCGCAGCCCAGAGAAAAATAAGCACGCCCTTAACAATTTTAGATTATGCTATGTCAGAGCCTAAAAATAGTAAGAATCTTAACCTCACTGGTAGCTGGGCGTTGAAAATTAAAGAAATGAATATTTTCTTATATGGAAATCCTTTTTAAAAAGATTGGAGCTTTATCCATTGTTTAAGGGAAGTCTACAATGTAATCATAATTATTGCACTTGCTAACCGAATTTAATAATCGATAAGTTGAAACAAAACACATCCTTATCGGCAATGTGGTTTTGTTTTTGCTTCTCCTACATTTTTGACGGCAAAACATCTCAAGAATTTTATTAAAAAAAAAAAAACAAACAACGTTTTTGTAATAACGCATTAAATAACGCATCAACCATAGTTCTGAAATGTGAATTATATATGACATTTTCGTGCAATAAACTTCTTTTGTATTGCGAATTTGATTATTTATTAATTACTATTTATTCCAGCGAATAATTAATTTTGCAGTCATATCACACAAGAATGTTAGATATGTTGCAAATGTTTTTATCCAATTGTGCATATAAAATAGTGTGTCGAATATATCGGTTCGGATATATCGATATATTTTCGAAATAAAAAAGTGTTGAATGATACCCTTTATATAATTTGATGTGTTATGTTGGCAGTTCTCTAGCGTATGGTATATGTACGTGAATACATATATGTATATTAACATTGTTTAAGTTTTACGGAAGCACGGAATTTAACAATGCAATAGGAATAAGTTTGCATATAGAACAAGTAAAAAAAATAAAAAACAAAATGGAGTGATTTACGACTTAGTTGTAATAAAAATACGAATGAAATTTATGACGATTTATTGCTTCGGTTTTGTTTGACTGTATTGTGTACATAAACAAATATTTTAACAATGTCTTTAAGCAATAAAAGCAACATAAGCGAAAAAGAAATCGACGATGAGGATATGCTGTCTCCCACTAAATTATCTACTAATCTTGTTGTTCGAGTAAATCAAGACTCCGATGACAACCTGCAAGCACTATTCGATAGTGTACTGAATCCCGGAGATGCAAAACTTCCTTTGCAGCTACCATTTCGTATGCGCAAACTGCCGAATTCGTTTTTCAATCCTCCAGCTCCCCTACATTCGCGAGCAAACAGTGCCGATTCCACATACGATGGCTCACAAACCAATATCAACAAGACTGCCCAGCCAGAAATACAGCCATCACTCTCACAAAACCAGCCATCACACAGTCGTCTGACAATACATCATTTTCGCGCTCGGAGCAGTCCAGCTTCCCTACAGCAAAACTATAATGTTCGCTCTAGAAATGAATCGGCCGCAAATAGCAACCAGGGGCCTGCGTACCCGGATAATAATGTGGACTTCGCTAGCAGTACGGCAAATAATATTGATTTAGATGTAATAAATACGTGCATGGGACAAGGACCGGAGACTCCATTATCTACTCAGACCATTCATAAAAAGCAAAGATCATATGACGTTGTCAGTCCAATTCAACTACAAAGTCAATTAGGTGCACTACCGCCTGGCTGGGAGCAAGCTAAAACTAATGATGGGCAGATTTACTATTTAAAGTAAGTAATATGATCAACTAAATATTTTCTAAAGTCAACAATGAATCCATTTTAGTTTTTAATTTAAAACCATGTCCCCAAACTACCGACTGTAACATTTTTACCATTTATCTGTTGGCAAATAGAGCTTGTAGTCGGCATACTACTTATTATTGGCCTAATCAGAAGCACATTATACAAATATTAGAAAACTTTACTCTTCAATTTAATTTTGTTGTATATCCTACATCCATTGCAACTGCATCTAATAGATAAAAGCAACTCCGACGGAGACAAGTTGAGTCTTTCTATGAGAAACTATTAAAGCTAGAGAATTCGAAGTATGTCATACTAGCTTATATCAAAAATAATATTTATTAATACGAAGGCAGCTAGACTTTTACAAAAGATCATAAATTGCCCAATAATTAAATGTGCGCTCAACATCCGTTTTTATATGCACGTGTAGATCTGCATATGTTTGCTGTTTTGTAATTCATTGCACTAGCTTTGGCTGGCCTAAATTCCAAAATTTACATTTGTTGCGTAATGAGGTTGGGTCAGAAAATCTGTATATTTTAAGCCGATGCTAATATATAAATTAATATTTTGAATTGTCAAAAAGTTTTTATAGCCTGATAAGTGTAAGCGCGAGTTTAGTAGAGTAGATTTTGGTTTTGCTTGCCTTACTTAACTATCCTCTAAACACATCCGCAATACCATATCAATCTTATATGACTTCTCTAGGAACAATCAACGGAAACCAAAGATTTCGCCGTTCTTTTTTGTTCTATGTTTGGTATTGAAAAAATATACAATTGATCTTAAGCCAGCCTATTTATAATCTTCATTTGAATACTAACAGATGTCCCTTAAACTTAAATATATTGAATATAACCAAATGAATTAATTTTCCCTATTACAGCCACACCACAAAAACAACACAATGGGAAGATCCAAGAATTCAGTTTCGTCAACAGCAACAACGAGCTATGTCCGATCGGAAACCAGCTGGTACGCTAATTCACGTAATTATATAAGTATAATAACATAAGCTTTTGTCGCTTGAGTTAGGATGAAAGTATGTATGTGCCCAAAACTCAGCACTAACAACCGCGCACACCCCCCTTTTTTTGGGCGACGCGTTTATCTTTCTTCAGCTTGTTCCCCTGACTGCTAAAATTAATCAGAAAACTAAGAATTCCAACAAAAAAGAAAATTGTAAACGCTGTGTAAGTTCAATACTAGTTAAGTTTACAATAAATTGTTAATGATTCGGCAAATTTTATAAATTTACGATGCACATCCTTTAAACTTTTTCATTAAAGTACCTAAATATGATAAATAAATAAAAAACTAATCAACACAATCGAACGACATAACCGATTGTGCGTCATATTGTAGGCAATGCTAACAGAACCTCTTTTATAGATTTGGATTCTGGAAGCAAACTGTAAGCCCTTTGCGACTAGAGCAGAGACATCTTGTGATTGGTGTAGTTCTTCACCATATAAGATCAGTCCTGAACAAAGGGCATATTTATCTTTTATCAGAATATAATATAAAAATTAAATGCTAATAGCCTAATAAGTATACAAATATTTCTTATGCCATCACCGCTACGGGGTAGATATGTTATTTGCCCGTCCGGCCAGCTACGCCCCTTTGCACGGTAAATGTTGTCTGTGGCTATATTAGAGTCTACAGAAAAAAAGGAAGGTGTAGAATATACAATAAATAGAAAAAAGCCCCAAAGAACCAAACCACATGAGATTCGAATAAAATTAGACCGAGTTATGAGGGTGGGAAATTTTAACAAAGGCGGATAAAAATAATATTGGTAGCGATAAATATAAATTTACAAACATATTTTTAAATTAACTTTTATGCAGATGTTATTCAAACTTCAAAGCAAGCTAGCGCCCCGAGCATATCTACCCATATTGGCCCACTACCCGATGGTTGGGAACAAGCTGTTACTGAGTCTGGAGATATTTATTTTATAAACCATATTGATCGAACGACTTCATGGAATGATCCTAGAATACGTAAGTGTTAAAATGTAATCCTTTTAACAAGCTTTTCACGCATTTTTCACTCAAACCATTAAAAATGCTTAATGAGGGAGTTAATATATTGATGAGCATCAATATCAATTCGATCTAGCCATGTCCGTCTGTCTGTCCATGTGCCCGTCCGTTCTTCAGAACCCATCAAGACTGAAAGTTCAAACATAGGTGGTTCAAGTGCCTGATACCGTGATAGCGTGTCCCGTTTACAAGCAATCAATAAAAATCGACATCGAAATCCTGCTTTTGGAGTCTTTTGCGTTTTAAGAGCTAGTCACCAAATTTAACTTGTAGCTAATAAATAGTATATATAGATCGACGCGACAAAGATCTTCGAGCTAGTCACCAAATTTAACTTGTAGCTAATAAATAGTATATATAGATCGACGTGCCGAAGATCTTCGTTCCTTTTTTTCATTTTACTTCATTATATTTAATATAACTAAACGTCTACTGTATACGTTATACTTGTGGATAAAAGTAAAATAAAATTTACGTACATCCTTCATTTATTTATGTAAAATAATTGCTTGTTTATGTATTATTTCTTTTACAGAATCTGGTCTTAACGTGCTAGACTGTCCTGATAATTTAGTATCGTCTCTTCAGGTAAATATTGCAATTACTTGTCTTAAAAGTAAAAAGTTTCACAAAATATTTTTTCTTTTTACTATTTAGTTATAGTAAAAGTTAACGCACTACTTATATAACTTGTATTTTATTTCAGATTGGGGATAATATTTGCAGCAATATTTTTAATGATACCCAAACTGTCATTAACACACCGTCTTCCCACAAACCTGATGATTTGGAATGGTATAAAATAAATTAATAAAAGTTTTTGTGCAAATAATTTTATTAGATTTTAATGTTTAAAATTTTGTATTAATATAAAATAAATATTTTTGCATATATTTAATGATATGTTTATTTTCAATATTGGTTTATTTTGGATACAGTGAGGTAGTAGGCATCGGATAAAAAAAAATTAGTCTTCCAAAAAAATTGAGCGACAAAGGCTTTTGATTCGTAGACTGTCATGTTAACGCACTGTTAGACAGAGGGGTAGATGTACCGGATATTTTAATCACACAATGCAATGACACTCAAACTCTCTTGCACTCTGATCAAGTAAGCGAGTAACGGACGCGAGCAAAACTAAGTCGAGGGACCTGACTTACAGAAAACAAGTGTATACCTATTTTTGTTTTAGCTGTACCATCTATATGCTGTATGCTTGGTGGTCAACGTGCGGACAGTAGCGTGAGCAACTCAGGCGCGCTTTCCAAGCAATTAAGCCTAGCAGACTTCGGCGGAAAACTGAAGCTGGCCAACTTTCGGGGGTTAAGGTTGGCAATCAACCAAAACTGCGTCTTCGAAAAATAAAAAAGACTATCAACCCATTACATGACCGATGCGCCGCTTTGGAAAATACGCAAGCAGGGTTTAAGTCCCGTTGCCGCTGCGTTAATGTCTGGCGATTTACTAGAGCACATAGCCGTGAGTACGCTATCGATCAAAACCACCAAATTCTCCTTCCGAGGAAGTTGACCGGGCCTCGTTGTTTGAAGAGGTGCCAGCCGGAGTGACCGCCCGGCAGTCGCCACTCGCCATACAGCCATACATCGCCCAATGGTGTAACTCGCTTGGTACTCGTTGCCGCCCAAGCCAACCTAAGCCGGACCCAATGTTACCGTTATTTGAAGATCCGCCACCTAAAGGACTGCCCGAACCGCGGAAGCTGATCTCCCGTGGTCCTGCGATTCCCCGCAGCATCTCGTCGTGTACCTGTCGCTGCCCAAACAATCTTCTGCCGGAGCTTAGTCCCCTTCGCAAGAATTTAAAGCCACCCTGGCATTATTGTTTGATGAGTGGCCGCCCGGATCACCATGTGAATGGCAGAGCCTGCACACCGAGGGAACACCTCGTCTCCTACCAAAGCTATATATCGAGTTGGTAGCCTAGGCGATCAGTGCTTATATTGTCTTATCTTATCTGCCAACGCTGAGTGCGATTCCTCTTTGGTACCTTAGAATTAGGAAGGCAACGCAGTGCCCGTAGTACCCCGCTGCCCTCAAGAATCGATATCCTGACGTTCAGTGTCGATAACCCCTGAGATTCCCTAAGCAATAATATTACATTTTAAACATTTTATCTTTACGGACAATATGGAAAAAAACTTCCGATCGTGAATCGTTAAGAAAATAAATCTAATGTTGAAATGTATAGATGTATTTCCAAATTATCCGCTATTCCTAAAGCAATTGACGGAATTGTAGCATTTCAACTGCAAAATTTGTTTAGTTCTACATTACATCGTTCCATTACTTTCATCGTTCTTGGCGGAAGTGGAATCGACACATAAAGTTATCGGTAGCTCAACAAATAACATAAGCATACAAATAAAGTTATCGATAACAGTATATGCATTTACATGCGTAGCATTTTACTTGGCCAAACAATTGATTTGATATTGTTTAAACTAATTCGTCGAGGTTAAGATCACAAAATCTGAAATTTTCGAATAGACCTGATCATTTATTCGTTAATAACATCAAAATTATATACAGTTAATTTAACACACCTATAAAAAATTTGATTTTACAAGTAGTTTTAATTGTCCTTTTAGTTTAAATTCGAACTTTAACGCTTTTTAATGTCATCTGTCTCGTAAGCACTAGAGTTTTAAAGCAAAATCGCTGCTTGAATTGGAGAACAAGCATGCAAAGCATTAATTAATTAATTTAGCTGTAGGTAAAGTTATCAAATATATTTCTTGAAATCGAAGGGAAAATAAAATTATTCTGCATAGAATATTATCAACCAAACATCGGTATCATATAATTGCTTATGTTACAGCTTCACCCTAGGGTCAATAAATCAAGATGCCAATGAGAACACGGCTAAATTCAAAAGATAATCATTTGTTTCAAGGAACCAAACGTTAGTGGAAACAACGTGTTCTAAAAAGCTTTTATAATAGTTATCGTTTTTACAGTTTCCAAATATGAGAAATTAGAAACAGGTATTCTATTATCGATCATCTCTATTAAATAACCCAATATAAGGTTGTATATTAATCCAGCTGGTGCTTGTAATGCTTGTTTGTGTTGAAAATTAGTGGCCATTTTATAGATGTTATTTATCTAATATGCTGTAAAGCTTTTATGTATTAATACAGTGTGTTTTTCTTGAATACGTGTATTTGCAGTGGCATCGATATTTACTGTGGCTTAAATATTGATTTTATACAACATTTAAACGAATAATAATTACATTTACCAACATATATGAGGAACCATTGATAAAACCATGCACTCTCAAGGACAGGGTCAAACGCAGCAGCATTCTTCAACACATTCCCTTCTTCAGCCGCAAAATCATTTACCTAACAATGTCATTGGAAAATCTGTCGACCATCAATCTATATCGACAGTCGGTAAGAAAAAAATGTCTTATTTTTTATGTTGACGTATATATGCTTCTGGAAATCTATTCAAACACAGAAAATTCACTGTAGCAAATGTGTATTGCTGCTAATGTGCAGACAGATCTGTCCGAGTTGCGTCCCCTTACACTTGTCACTAAACTAAGAGATATCTTCGACCCCAGTCGAGTCGATCTGGCCATGTCCGTCTGTCTGTCCGACTTGGAAAATATGAAGTTTGCAGTTTTTAATTTGGGAACTCTGGCTGAGTTTACAAATTTTGGCTTTCTAATTAAGCCATTGAAAATGGGACACTTCAGTTCTGATTGGCACTTGTTAAAATAAGACTATATAAAATAATGAAAATGTTATTTACTAATGTTTTCAATATGTTTTATCAAAAGTCTTGGTTTAATGACAATTTTTCAGTAATGTTGTCCAACAGTTCTTCTATTATTGTGTCTGCAATTTCATTGTATATATATTTTGTGTTCGTATTTAAAATACCGGTTTAGCTGAATGGAAAATTTGACTATTGAATTAATTGTTTAGCTATAGTTGTCTGTTATTATATTGAATCTTTTCCACTGTGTCCAATGATGCTGCTGAATGATGCTGCAAGAACAGATGTTTATACACTCTGGGGTCGGAGACGTTTCCTTCTGACTGTTGCGTTATAAATAGTGTTATATGTATTTATTAAATAAGTTTTTTTCATTTAGGATTGTTGGAGTTGGCGCATAGAGAATACCAAGCTGTAGATTATGAAAATGCAGAAAGGCATTGCATGCAATTGTGGCGGCAAGACAGCACCAACACGGGTGTTCTCTTACTGTTGTCATCAATTCATTTCCAGTGCAGGCGGCTTGATAAATCTGCGCAGTTCTCTACGCTGGCAATAAAGCAAAATCCAGTACTTGCAGAAGCATACAGGTGAGGTTAATTACATTACATTAATAACAAATAAGCTCGAAGAGTTTGAGAAAATTATTATAGCACAATAAGATTAACTGCTGAAAATATCATCAGGAGAATATATCAATGACCATATCCAGTGTTGGATGAAAAGGGTCTTCAGGAAGTGTAATGTGGGTCAATCCTGTGTACAACTCTGTCAATCGAATCCAACACAAAGATCAAATCAAGCGATATATTACTTGAATAACGCTCCCAATTTACCTACAATAAGAACATCTCATGCAGGGGCCATCAATAAACTCACTTGAGATAGATGGCAACGGAAAGATTGAATCCATGAACAACTAAGAGATCCCTATCAGAAAGCTGGGAGGAATAAGAATCAATAGCGTTAAGATGGCTTTGGTTAATAGACATTAGGCGAATATACGAAAGTGAAAAAAAGATACAGATAATCTTCGATAATCTTAGAGAACGTAAACGCAAAAAAGTTTAAAAGTAAAGTATACTTTACATCAATGTGGACTAAAGTTCTATTGAAATTAAATGCATTTAAAATATATTTATGCCTAGCTGTAAATTTTTCAATTATTGTTTAAAATCTAATATTTGTTACTCCTTATTCAATCTTATAATTGGGCATCCAGCAACCTAGGAAATGTTTACAAGGAGCGAGGACAGCTGCAAGAAGCGTTAGACAACTATCGTCGAGCTGTGCGCTTAAAACCAGACTTTATAGATGGATACATCAATTTGGCTGCTGCATTGGTTGCTGCTCGTGATATGGAGTCTGCAGTTCAAGCGTATATAACAGCATTGCAATATAATCCAGTAAGTATATTTTTATATAATCCAATAAATAGAAAAATTCAAACGAATTTTCTACAGGAATTGTACTGCGTGCGCAGCGATTTGGGAAATCTGCTTAAAGCACTTGGTCGATTGGAGGAAGCTAAGGTAATTTTTCTAATTTCGTATAAAAGCCTAAAAGTTTTAATTATTCACCAATTTCCGAACATTATAGGCCTGTTATTTAAAGGCTATTGAAACTTGTCCAGGATTTGCTGTTGCATGGAGTAATTTGGGATGCGTTTTCAATGCACAAGGAGAGATCTGGTTGGCTATTCATCACTTTGAAAAGGCTGTCACCCTTGATCCTAATTTCTTAGACGCGTATATAAATTTAGGCAATGTACTAAAAGAGGCCAGAATTTTTGACAGGTTAGTATGCTACTGATGTAATTGCATAATCCAGGGATTATTATCCTATAAATAGTTATTATACATAACATTACATCTAATTTATTTATTGAATTACTTAGCAATGCTCATAGCTTTCGGGTTACATTATCTATAAATTAAAGTACCCTATTATAGCTTCAAAACAAAACAATAAGAAACCTTTAGTCGGTATTGTCCGACTAGGGAATATTCTAAACCTTCTTCCAAGCCTGAGACACATCGCTCAGTGCGCTCGTTTGCTTAAGTAAAAGCATATATAAAAAATTAATTTTAAAAACTTTCAAAGTTGCCTTTTTGATAGACACGTGTTTTACTTTAAATTTTATGCACACCTGTACACCTGTTCGGGACATCCGCGTTGTCGACAAAAAAGTTGAATTGGTGCGAAGGAAGCGCACCCTCAACCTTATTAAAACCCAATAACCTGATCAAAAACACTCTTTAAAACATATTAGAAATCGCTGGTATCAGGCTGATTGGGCGACATGCATGGATACACTTGTGGTTTTTTCTGGGCTTGGTTATAATAATGATTTTCGCATATTTCCATTAGGTAAGGAAATAGCCTAATCACAAGCCCTAATTGAAGATTTATTTAATTTGGATCGCTTCGAATGGGAGCGATTTTAGAGTGTGCGCTGTGTTTTGCATACCAGCCTTCGGTGATAATGAATTTTCTAACCAACCAATCAAAAATGTTATTGTGCTTGTGGAAAACAGTTGATAGACTGTAGACTTTCAGTTGTATGGCGTTACCCATCTTAGTGTTTATATTGACTTTGATTTAACTTTAAACGGAAGTCAATCTCTAGTTTTGAAAAAATATTGCTTTTTGCTTTGCTCTCTCGCTGGTGCCCTTTCAACGCGCACACTTGCATTTGTTTTCTTTTGATGCTACTCATTATCTGTCTGCCTAGCCACCTTTCCGTATACACTCACACAATATTCTACAGATTGAAACTACAGATAAGAAGCTTATAATAAACTAGAACATTATTTATCTGATCTATGCTGATCTCAGAGACTTCATGACTTACAGAGAAATATAGATACACCATACAACAAATTTAACAACAATTTTCGTTTTTCTTGTCCATAATTTGACATTGAAATAGTTCATATGGTTTTGGTAGGTAGCTAAAGAGCGCCCCTCGCATGTGTTTGTTTTTGCCATCTAAAAATATCTGTGAAAATAAAAAACATGGAGTTTTTTGTAGTTGTCTTGCTTATAGAATACTTCTCGTTCATTCATGTGGATAAAATAAAATGATTATTATTAATGCATCGCTTGTTATTAATATATATTCTAATGATATTATTAATATTAGTCCTTATTGCATCAATTAGTTTAAATTTAATATTTTACTTTTAAAATTATGCTTATGTATTGTCGGCAAGCTAAATTCAAGAAACGCTAAATTTTGTTTGTACATGTATAAATAAAGAATATTTAAATTTGGGTGCTAGACATGTAGATACCCTGTGGCAGAGTCTTACATGATATATATTTGCGCACTTTTGATCTGTAAGCAATTCAGTTTAACAGTTTAATGTTTTATATATACAATATCTATAAGCAAAATGAAATATTGACTTGAATCACTAATTTCATTTTCCCACATCGTTTTAGTACGTATTAAGTACTTAAGTTATTTTGTGCGCCATTTTCTATTCATAATTTCTATTTTTAAATTAAAAATAGAGAAATATAATATACAGTTTTCATAGTAGCCCACACAGACAAATTGAAATACTCGGCTTGCCCATACTTCTTTATATTTGTAATATCCGTTTTGCATGTCACTACTATGCCTGCCCGCAATTTATTCCGTACAG